GGTTGAAAGCAGAGTGAAAAAGCTGACTTGAAATTCAACACTCAAAAAACCAAGATCATGGCATTTAGTGCCATCACTTCACAGCATATAGAAGGGACAGAAGTGGAAGCGGTGACATAAATTTTATTTTCTTCGGCTCCAAAATCATTGTGGACATTGACAGACAAAAAGTTATGACAAACGTAGACAGCATATTAAAAAGCAGAAACATCCCTTTGCCAACAAAGGCCTGTAAAGTCAAAGCTAGTTTATCCAGTAGTCATATGCACATGTGAGAGTTGGAACACAAGGAAGGCTGAGTGCCGAAGAGTTGGTGCTTTCGAACTGTGGTGCTGGAGAAGACTCTTGAGAGTCCCTTAAACACCTAGGAGATCAAACCAGTCCACCCTAAAGGAATTCAAACCTGAATATTCATTGGAAGGACTGTTGCAGAAGTTCCAACACTTTGGCCACCTGATGCAAAGAGCCGACTCATTGGAAAAAACCTTGTTGCTGGGAAAGACTGAAGGCAATAGGAGAAAGGGGCAGCAGAGGATCAGATGGTTGGATAGCATCACCACCTCAATGGACATGAGTTTGAGCAAACTCCGGGAGACAGTGAAGGACAGAGGGGCCTGGTGTGCTACAGTCCATGAAGATGTAAAGAGCTGGACATGACTTAGTGACTGAGCAACAACAAAGTTTACTTACGATACCTAATGTAATGTAAAGATGATGTAAATAGCTGCCAGTGCATGGCAAATTCAAGTTCTCCTAGAACTTTCTAAAAGTTGTTTCTCTGATGATTTTTCAATCTGAGTTTGGTTGAATCCAGAGATGCAAAACCCACAGATATGGAGGGCTGACAGTACTTCTAGAGATTGGTTACTTCTTGTCCCCAAATTTCTCCAACACACCCTCTGAAACTGTCTGAAAGCTACTGTGGATGATTCACATCTTAGCACAAACCAACCACATGTTTGTAATCAGTCAAGAAAAATGACTAATGCCCCTGAGGTCTATAAAGCAGTGCCCACAGCCGGCCAGCCACAGCTAATGTCCCAAGCAAGCACATATTTGCTTTGGAATCAAACACCTCAGTCTTGTATGTGAATTGACTATCACGGGGCTATACCTCCTAATAGGTAACACGATCTAAGGCTCCCACTGCAGGTAGTGCACCATACTAAAGAATAACCACAAGCAGGCTACACGAACCCTGCAGAGAGTTATCTGCAAGATCAAGGAAATCATTCTTCCATACTAAGGCTCCAAAAATCCACTTTGTAGTGAGCACTTAAGCCTTAGAGAAATATTATTAGTAAGTGCTCTAGTTTTGAGTCAGTTTCAATCTCAGAAAGCATTTCTTAAATGCTTCTTGGTTATTTGGGAAATGGATTCCGAGCTAAGACAAGTGGAATTGGTTCTGAATTGATTAGGGAAAAAAAAATCATTGTCAATGCAAAACAAAGCATAAATACAGGATTTCATCTGGAAATGAAAGTTGAATGCAGGGAAGTCAGCAGCATCAACAAGGCTGACCTTACATTGGCCACAAATCTAAAAAATTGAAGTGTGGTGGTGAAGAGACAGGAGTCAAGAATGTCTCCAGAAGTACCTCGTGGGTGGCGTGCATGAAATAATTCATGTAGCCAATGACCCCACATTTCTGAAGTCTTTTATTAAACACTTAATGCAGAAATATGAGAAAACGCAGTAAGTGAAGGATGGAAGACCTGCCACAATCTATGGTCAACACTTGTACTTGGTGACTATCCTTCTATATTATTTTCTATCAACAGGAGTATTGCATAAAAACTTCTCCCCCACAAAAACCAAGTCATACCTAAAATACTATTTGGAAACCTGACTTTCTGCATTTATCTAGAAACATTTCCATGTCAAGAAATCTTTTTGATCTCTACCTTTAGTAGTGCTGGACTATTTCTTCTGTGGGTGTACCAAAACTTAACCATTCCACTATCATTAGCATTAATTTACAGCTTTTTGCTATTGAGAAATGCTTCAATGAACTACCTTTTGTTAAATCTGCATGAACAGAAGGCCACTTCCAAGCGCAGAATTCTGGACCATGTGTAGCACATGGCATCCAAGGGCACATCTCCCTGTTGATGTACCAAGGCTAGAGGGGCCCCTCCCCCAACCTTCAGGGGTCAGAGCAAGCCCAGAATAACCCAGTAAATGGACACTACGTCCGGATTCTTCTGCCTGACTTAGGACATCACAAAAATCACTAAAAAAGAAGGCAGCTGAGCTAAATCCCAGGATTTGTCCCAAGTCTGTTTGTCATCAAGTTGAAAAGTAAACATTTTCCATTATTTATTAGCACCACATTTACAGAAACAGTTGCCTCAGGCTCGTGTCTAGTGGAATTCAGGTTTGCCGTGGGAAACAATGAAGCAGAACCTTTTAAGAGTGAAGATCTTTCAGTGGCTGAAGTGAAACCTACAGTCAGGGCAAATCAGACCCAGAACACAGTTAATAACCATCACTTCTTTCTATTGTATCTTAATTTTATATTCCTCAACTCCTTTAACTTCCTTAAAATACAGATTCACAAGAAGGTCCATTTAAATGTTTTTATTAAAGCAGTTATGGTTACTGCCCCACTGTGTCTAGAATTTTAAAGTATATATCCTTAGGGTTTGAATGTTTGGGGATGAGATTTCTGTTTTTATGTTTTGATCTTTCTCCACAAAAGCCAATTACAGCATGTTATTAAGCATTTCCAGACTTCCAAGCAAGTTAAAAGAATCCAGTCTTCTTTTCTCTAAATTAGTTGGAAGAAACTAAAAGCTTATAGACCACATTTTAAAAATCCTACTGAAAACAGACTGTCACCTTGGATGCTGGAAGAGATAATAATAGCACTAAACTGGAATGGCCCCCACAGAATCCAGAATACACTTTTTAGCCAACAGGCGCTCATTCTAGGTGATTCTAATTCCAAAGACACTCTAGGAGCCCCCAATCCTATAGCATCTCAATTGTTATGTGACTTGGCTGAGGTGTCTCTTCAAACAAAATTAATTATGTGAAAGGTGTCTTTCGGGAACTAAGGTCCAATTTTCTACTCAACTGATACTCAGATCTCTTGATAACCTGATATTCAACACATTCTTGAAATCAACAGAAACCTTTTAGTAAATTGTATTTTTGGATTTCCCCTGAAACCAGCCTGATCAATTAAAAAAAAAAGTATGGAGATGAGTTTTCATGACTTTCAAAAAAACTGTATGAAGCCAACTAAGAACGGCCAGGATGAGTAAACTGAGGCAAGACCCTGCCGGGTGTTGAGACATACATTAAAACAATGGTACCATGATTAAATAAGTTTTTATTGTCACATTTAACTGCTTTGTCAGATACACATTGTAGGTTTCAGTATGGCATAAAAATAAAAATATTTTCCTGAATGTCAAAATCTGAACAGAGGAGATGGTGATGGCACTTAAAAAAAAAAATTCACACTGGTGCTGAAGCTGCTAGAAGGTAGCTGATAAACACTGGAACACATTTGCAGATAAAGCGGTCTGCAACATTTCAAATCAACCGGCAGTGGTATAAGGCCAACAAAACTGGAGAGTAGGAAGATACAGACCCCGTTGAGTAGCTATCTGAAGGACGGCAGTTTGAGCACTTAGTTTCCAGTCAGACTAAACTTCTTTCCTACAAAATGATACTACTTTTTCAGAACCTGGATTTTAAGCCTCCTTAACAACTTCCTTATTCTTACAGGTTGCAACTAGTCCAAAGAAAGGCAGTTATAATCCATGGCATTAGCTTCGTGGGCTGACCCTGCCGTAAATGGGGGAGGAGGGGTCTTGTCATTTCCAAACCAGGAGCCTGTCATGCTCATGAACGTCTGTAGTGGTTTCACACATCCTGGGCAAAACTAGAAAACAAGCAGTAATTAAATAAAAATGTTAAGTGCATCCCCAAGGAAAGTCTACACACATTCCACAGCTATATGCCGAATGGTAACTTAAAAAGTATGGTTATTCCGATTGGAAATGAATCTCTATTCAATAACCAGGCTTCCCAAACAGTTTATTAAATGTCTTTCTTCCACAAATAAAACTAACACTAGGATTTGTCAGAAGATCTACATGAATTATCTCCTTTACGTACGAACTTGGCTAAATCCGCTGTGTCTGGAGTCTGTTCCTCATAAAACTCAGGTCTGGAACGTAACTCCTTTCTGTTATACTGCTGTGTGTCCTTCATTTAAGACTCCAGAACAGAGACCGTAAATGTGGCTAGTGCAACATCGCAGTCACTGGAATTCCCCGAAAGAAAAATAAGTAATTTATTTTATGACGTACTTACTTGGATGATTACTTACTGGTAATTAGTATTTCTACTTTTTTTTTTTTTAAAGGCAACCATTTTAAGTGACAATACATATCAGGCTAGTAGAAAAAAGTGGAAACAAAGCCCTCTCTTTTGATCTCACAAAGTCATGCAGACAAAAGAAGGTACATCTGATTTGTTCCAATCTTGGAAATTATCAAAATTTCTTTTCTGGCAAAGATGAATTTGGCTCATCATAGAAAGAAGGTTCTTTGAAGGCTGCTGCTTAACTAGTTTCCCTTTGAAAAAGTAAATTTCAAGGCATGATAGTGCAAGAGGTAAAGTTTTGATTTATAGAACATTTATAGACTAATTGTGCTTAGTCTCTAATTTCCAAATTATTTTAAAGAACAGAAACTACGTTGATAAGTTTATCTTTGCCTAAATTTACCAGTACATCCATGAATCGCACCAGAATTCGGACAATTTGATTATCTTAATGACTCTGTTGTGAGCCCTGCACACTGCGTCCGCAGGTGAGGACCCCCCGCATGTGAGGCTCCTCCAAGGTCTGTGCCCAAAAACTCTTGTCTTGGGGAGTCCAGGGGCCTGAGAAAGCAGTTCTCTCCCCCAGAGGAAGTCCTCAAATACTCTCTCAATGAGCGATTAAGAAAAACAGTGCTAACTGGAGAGTCCCTTGCATTCAGTTAAATCTGGGAGGTCTGAGTGTTCCTGGAGCCCCCATCGGGGTGTGTCATGGGGCGAGAATCCCTTGAATGTGAGTATTCGCTATTAGGGGGCTCTGTAGGGTCAATCAAATTTTCATAATCACTGTCGTCTGATTCCTCAGCACTGTCTCCAGCTGCTCTGTGGGAAGGAGGGGCGTCCGCTCCACTTCCAGGGTATTTCAGTCCAGCACTGGTGGAGGCATAACTGGAGGAGCCCACAGCTTGAGGTCGAGGCATAAAGACGCTGGTCTCCATGCGAGAATGGCTCAGAGTACTTTCTTGATTATTTGGGTGAAGATCAGAATAAGGTGGAGGCGGGTCCGAGGCCTCTGCGTCTCCAAGAGTACTTCGGCCTTCCGCTGTGAACCCTGGATAGGGCATCCGAGGGCTGAAGGTGGGGTCCACGCTCTCAGACGGCATCTGTCGGCTCACCATCGCCTGCTGCAGTCCTGGGTGGGAAGAGGAAGGAAACTGTCACACAATCCGTACTGTCACAGCTTTGCATGTCAACATGGTCAATGGTCCACCTGACTGCTCTGAAAATGGCAACAAAGCAGGGTAATTTACCATTACTGTGAATTACTATACATTTGCACAGTATTTCATAATTTTCAAAAGCCTCAGAACAGCTCTCTGAAGTACTACCATCATCATTAATATTACCATCTGTTATGCAGGCAAAGGACCAGAGGTCAGAAAGATCAGGTGACTTCACTAAGAGGACAGCTAGAAGTGGGGGCTCTGATACCCAAACACAGGTCTCTTAACTCCAGACCCAGTGCTATGACCCTCACCTGCTGCTCACTGTGCCCGGAGACCATGGGGACAGAGGATGACACTGATCACTGTCCCTACCCCTGGCGATCATCTGAATGTGAGTTTTTCCTTAATGGACCTCACATCAAAAAAAAACAACCAAAAAAAAACTTCTCAACAACTACTTGTCACAATATTCTTAAACATCTCTTCTCCTTGAAAGTTCAAAGCCCTGTGACTTCCCTGGTGGTCTACTGGCCAAGATGCTGCACTTCCAATGCTGGGGGCCAGAGTTCAATCCCTGTCCAGGAACTAGATCCCACATGCTGCAACTAAGAGTTTGCATATCGCATGAAGACTGCATCTCCTGCACGCCACAACAAAGACATGGCCCAACCAAAGAAACAAATATTAAGAAAAAAAAAGTTCAGAAGCCAATACAACACTGTAAAACTTTTTTTAAAAATTCATTTTAAAAAACAGGGAGCTCAAAGCCCTGTGTTAGGTACTAGGCCATAACTTTACTGCATTTTTATGGTGGTAAAACTGAAACAGCCACACATCTATGAGTCTATGGCCTTTAAATTGTTTTCAAGTACATTTAAAAATATAAAAATGATTTGTACAAAATCTAGAAAAGAAAAAGAAAAGAAAATCACCCACAATTCTATCACTCAGATAAAACTGCTAAAATTTTGATGAAAAAAGTGAAAGATTTGGGTTAAAAGACACACACCTCAGGTGTCAACTGAGGTGACCCCACTTCTCCAAATGCCAGCTCTATCACCCAGCTCTGTGTGTGTCTGTGTGTGTCCATGTTTTTTATCTTATTTATTTGGCTGCACTGTGCAGCAAGCAGGACCTTAGTTCACCAAACAGGGATAGAATCTGTGCCCCCAGCAAGGGAAGGAGCCAAAGTCTTAACCTCTAGTTAAATCTAGTGAGTTTCATAAAAAAGAATGAAATAATGCCATTTCCAGCAACATGGATGGATCTACAGATTATCATACCAAGTGAAGTCAGACAAATACCACTGATATTACTTACACATGGAAAAAAAACAAAAACAAAAACGGTACAAATGACCTTACTTACAAAACAGAAATAGGCTCACAGTCATAGAAAGCAAATATGGTTACCAAAGGGTTGGCAGGGAGGATAAATCAAGAGTCTGGGATTAACAGATACACACTACTGTACGTAAGACCAATAAACCACAAGTCCTACTGGATAGCACAGTGAGCTATAGTCAACATCTTGTAATAACCTATAATGGAAAATAATCTGAAAAAAAAAATATATATATATATACACACATACACACACACAGCTGAATTACCATGCTGTACTGAAACTAACATGACATTGTAAATCAACTGTACTTCAATAAAAATAATATTTTAAAAAATCTGGTGGTATTATAGCATATGTGTCTGTTACCATGCTGGAGTTAATAGATTCTTGGGCCTAATTCTCATTTAAACAGCTGGTTCCTTAACATAATGGTATCTGGCCACCCACTGCTATCAAAAACTCGACATTTAAAGTCTTTGCCGAGACCCTGCCCCGTGAATCAAATATAAAGTTAACATAATTTTAGGTAGCTCTTTTATGAGGCCCCAGTGAACACAGGACACAGCTCCTATGTCCTAGGCATGCCAGGGTTAACTTGGTAAGAAACATCACATCTACTGTACACAGATCATATCACTTCTTAGGAATTATTCTAACTTGCTTCAGCCTTTCTACCATTGGTCTTTTTTCTTCCACTATGAGACTTGAGAAGGATACCATGAAAAACAGTACTGCGCTTCTGGAGAAGTCTAAAGACAAGGGAATGCCCTGTCCCAAGCAGCCTAACTTGGGGCCTGATGAGTGTAGAAGAATGCATGTAATTTATCATATAATTCGAAGTTTAAGACCAGACATTTCCCTGATACTCAGTAGTAAAATGAATAGGAAGCTCACGTCTTTCTTGTTCCTTTTCATTCTTCCTCTGAGTGATCTGTCTTCTTAATTTGTTCACTTCTGCCTGACAAGATTCAACAACTCGCTCACTCTTTTCCACGTCTGCACACACTGCCTGAGGGAAAAATGACAACAAGAACAATTAGTTTCACATCCAAGCATGAGGCATTTCATAAAGACAGCATCGATTATGACCCTAGGAAAAATCTGTATACTTTATTACGTTAAAAAATAGACATTTCCCTGAGGTACAGAACAAAATCATGAAGGCCCAAGAGACCAGTGCTGTTACTCACTGAACTGCTTTCTTAGTTATGTTAAGATGATTATACTACTTAGCTTATACATTCTTGAATATGAATCTTTCTCTTGCTTACTCATCTTTATTTATATGAAAAGGGAATTTTTGGTATCAGTCTAGCATAGGGTTTCCCAGGTGTTCTGGTAAAGGACCTGACTGCCAGTGCAGGAGGCCTAAGAGACTTGGGTTTGATGTCTGGTTGGAAAGATCCCCTGGAGGAGGGCATGGCAACCCAATGCAGTATTCCTGCCTGGAGAATGCTATGGACAGAGGAACCTGGCCGGCTACAGTCCACAGGGTTACAAAGAGTTGGACACGACTGAAGTGACTTAGCACAGCACATCTAGCACAGAGGATGAACAAAAGAAAGGAATGAGATGCTTTCAACTTTTATTTATAATCAACAATTAAGCCTCAGATCACACAGATTTATTTAACAGAAACTACAACTAGGAAAAGTTGAAAAAGAACTTGACTTTGAAACTTATTTTCTTTTCCAACTTCCCCTCGTCAATGTACTTTAACCATTGCTATCAGGGCATGGACGTGACACTGGCGTTTGCAGAGCAGGCCTTAATCAATAGGCAATGAAATGTCTAATACATGCCACTTTGAAGTCTGTGAGGCGGCACTGACAGTCTGCAAAGAGCATGGTCATGAATTCCCGACCAAAAGCTGCTTTTCACTGAACGTTCCTTCCATAGCAGAAATACCAGAAATCTCCGGAAAGTGGGCCAGTCAGCAGTGAGCGAGGCTGGATTAAGTTCCCTGGGCTGCTATGGGGACTGTGACCCTGATTTGGAGCCTGACACTGGGATCTGCCCACTGCATGCCTCCCCTTGGCCGCAGGCTGAACACAGACTGCTCTCCTCTTTCTCAGCAGCTGCCTGTGCCCCTCCATTCCCTGGGCCCTTCCTCCAGGCCCGGACGGCCCCTTCAGCCCTGCCCCTCTTCTTCCGGTCCTCTAAGGCACTTTTGTTCTCAGGGGTTCAGAGCGAATTTCCCCTAAGAACACTCGGGCTGATGACAAGAATGTGGGAAAGTACTGCTAGCACCTAGCTCAGGGTCGGGCTTGCAGGAGATGTTTCCATAGACATTTGTTGCATGACTGCCTAGGAATGAACAGGCTCCACTGCACCCTCCCATCAGTGGAGGCAGCTGTGGGCAGGAGAGAACGCGAATCAGGAGGCCGAGCAGTCCTCAGTCACCACGGGTGCCTACGGGCGCGGCCTCTACTTAAGAGGCCAAGGGACGCGCCAGCTGTGTCCTGAGCGGCCCCCCTAAACTGGGCACGCGCCCCTCTAGGGAGAACGCTGCCATTAAGGAGGTCGCAAGCATGTAAGAGAGCGACACCGAAACCCCACCCCAGTCTCCGTGGCGGACTCACAGTGAGTGAGGCAGGCTTCCGTAGGCTGGCGTCAGCAGCTACTCCACACATCTGATATCGTTTGGGGACTGACTTTTGGGCCACAATTCATTCGTCAGTTAGGAGATTATTAAAAATTAAAGTAGAATTTAAAAAGCGTTTGGGAAATATAAATATGATGAAAACTAGTAAATGCATCAGTTACCTGCACTTTCTCCTGAAGCGCATTATAAACCTGATAAATCGCCCTGATGTCTTTCATTACTCCGTCCTTGTCAAAAAAGTCAGTACTAGAAGACAGACAGAAACAAGATTCACAAAGCGATTAGAACTACAGTGGACTGGAAGGCACTTTCCCATCATTTCTACCTTAATCTGTTAATTACTTGAATGCTGCAACCCCAGGGTGACAGTGTTTCAGCAACAATGCCCATGTCCCTAGGGTTACAGAAGAGAAAGAAGAGAGAACCCTTGTTGCCAAGACCACTGAGAAACAGTAGTTATTTTTTCCCTTACCCTATACATTTTTCAGGGACCACAGTTAGCTTTCAGAACCTCAGATATATACATAATCTACTCACATTTTTGCATCAGTTGCAAAAAAAGAAAAGAAATTGTGGCAAGTGATTAAAAAATAAATCTTGATAAAAGTAAATTTTCTTTTCAATAAGCATTCAGATTTTGGTATACAGTAGTGGTAGTCTAGAGAAAGAGAACTGCCTTATTGGATTTTTCAGTGTTAATCATATCAAATGATGTCACATTTCTCCACAAGCATAGTTAGCAAAAGAAAGGAAACACATTCATTTTACCTTTCAACTTACCCATGTTCTTTAATAACTTTGGCATAACTCTGAGAAGTATTTGGCACTGAAGACACTTTATACTCTTGTTGGCTAGTATTGCCTAGATTGGGAATAGCAAGGGATATCCTTTGATTATACCTGTGGGGGATTGAGAGAGAGACAGAGATCATGTTGAAAGCACTCCTCTACTTAAGGAATGGGTCTTGCCAGCAGGAGCTCGAGTCGCTGCATGAGAACTAATAGAAGATCTCACAGAGAACCCACTTCCACAGACAACCTAGGGTTATGTTAATTAGAAAATTTTTCACTTCCCTTAAAGTAGAACTCAATTGTAAACTCCCAAAGGCAGAGGTTAGCTCTTCTACATTTTCACAGCAACTGACAAGAGTGCTGAGGTGGTTTTAGGTGCTCAAAAACCTACTGAATAATTAATGAAATCTTAGGAGTGGCTATTTAACAACTAATAATTATTTTTCACTGATGCTGATTTAACTTATTCTACTATAAATGAACTTCTGTAGGAAACCTTTCCGTTGTTTACCGACATACAATGATCTTTCTTTTTGCTTTAACAAGTTCCTAATGCAAAACCCTCATTAGCCAGTAGGTGGATCAATTTTACAATTCTGTCCTTGAAATCTAGGTTTTAAAATTACAATCAGATTTACAGCACAATAGAACTATATTTGTATACAATGGATTATGGAGAATCAAATGATGATATCCAGCTGTTTATTCCTGTAAGAACTGATGCATCATGAATGTCTTCCTAATGCTTCTTGACTCAGAAACTATTATAATTTATATAATTAACTGACAGGAAAATACCTTCTCTATCACAAAGAAAACCAGCTACAGGACAGTTATAAACACTCTTCTTGAAAGATGCTATAAAATGCTTATTTTCAAAGGCACAAATCTCAAGTACTTGTATCAACATCTTGCCTCTTTACGTGCGGCTGAAGGGAATGCTTTCTTTACCTTCGATTTGGTCTAAAGAGAACATATTCTAAAGCATGGGTGGAGTTGTTGGCGGTGGAGATGAAGCTGAACAGGAGGAAGACGAGGTCGGGCGCCCCGAGGATGCGGGTGAGCTGCTTGTGGATCACCTGCTCTCGGTACGACATCTGCTGCTGCGTGTTTCGCCGGAATCGGTACCACCCGATCACTTTCTGCAATGGACACAGAAGAAGGAAGTATTAAAAGTTGCATGAAATCCCACAAATTTCATTCTGAAAGCATCTGCACAATCATTCATACCAAATTTATGTGCAACAGCTCGAAAGCGAAAACCACTCAATTGTCCCATCAACAGGCGAATGGATAAATAAAAACGTGGTGTATGCACACACTGGACTTCTGCTCAGTGACACAAAGGAAGAAACACCGACATACGCAACACACATGAATCCCAGTAATTACACTGAGGGAGAGAAGCCAGAACAATAACAACAAAAATTATCATCATCCTAATAGCATAGGCTACATGATTCTTTTGGGTTTTTTTTTTTTTGGCTACGCTGCACAGCTTGTAGGATCTTAGTCCCCCAACCAGGACCGAGCCTGGGCCACAGCGGTAAAAGTGCCAAGTCCTAATCACTGGACTGCTAGGGAATTCTCAATCTAACATTCGAAGGCATGTAAAATTCTAGAAAATGAAAGACATAAAGCAGATCAGTGGATGACTGGGGCAGAGGTGAGAAGGAGGGATCAGAAAAGACCATGAGACTTTGGCAGGGACAGATATGTTCATTATCTTACTCTGATGGTGGTTTCATGCATATATACATATATCAAAACTTATCAAAGTATATGCTCTAAATATACACAGTTTACTACATGTTAATTATACTTTCATACAACAATTTTAAAAGGTTAGCTTTGTCAGTGCTGACTATACCAGAACTTAACTTGGTATGTAATTTAAACCGACAGGCTCTTTGGAAGAACATTTTCACAATGTGATCTGCTGGATGTATGGAAGATGGAAGGCCTAAGGGACACCTGGGAGCTTGCTGGGCCCAATCCAAACATGCAGAATAGGAGCTTCTAAACCTGAATTTAAGATAAATTCTTAAGTTTTTTCTTATGTATAACTAAAGTTTGAAAACCTCTGTTGTGGAGACACTAATTCTTTATAGGAAGAATAATCTTCCATAGCTTCTTTCTTTAAAACAAACTCTTTGAGTGAAAATCTTGTTTTAAGAAATGAAACTAGTTTAAAGTTGTTAGTGTCGTATTAAAATTAACGGTAAATTTAGATTACATTTTGGAAACTTTCACAAAGGAAGGAAGTCAATCAACCTTTACTGTTACAATTATTTTCACTAATTATCACAGCAACCCCGAGAGGTGAGTAATGTTTTCTGCACAGAGTTCATATCACATGCAAAGAACTACAGGGAGCAAAGTAACGCTGCCTGCTCTTAAGGAGTACTACTGAAAACAAGGCATAATTCTAATTATACTGAGGCAATTAATTCTGGTATTCTTTAAATATAAAGAAAACTCAAACGCCTCGGACAGTATAAATCTTTACAATAGAGTGAAAAGTAGTTTTCCTTTAAAAAAAAAAAAAAGCAAGTAAGAAAAATTATCAACTGGCTAGAGCTACTAGTATCGAAGAACATGGCATATTTTACTCTGCGTCTCGGCACTTTGAATTTAACTTGGGATCAGCTCCTCTGCAGGACTGGGTCATGTCTCACACCCTCTGCACCCCTGCAGAGGCCTGAGCAGCGGTCAGCACACGGCCGTGCTGATTAAAGAATCAAGCCAAGTGGTGACTGATGGACACCCACACTTTCCATTTACACTGACTCTACTTGTTTGATTCCGTTTGTACTTTCTGAGAAGCAGAAAGCCTTGTAAATTTACTGTGGATATCAATTTATTCATTTGATATTTGCTAAAAAGATAACCCTCTTCATTCTGATCAATGAGAGATAAGACGCCAAAATAATTCACACTGGTGACAGGTACGATTGTACCTTTCACAGCTAATAAGCTGGTTGCAAGGCTATCGAGAACCAAGGTTACTGATGCGGAAGAGCACATTTTTGATAGCTATTTTTGGGCCATGATGAAAAATTATGAATGTCTTTCCCTAAAACCTTATCTCTGCTGAAGCTTCAGACAATATTTCACAAAGACTCTCCTCTCTACTCTCCATGCTAGACATTCACTTACATTTTCTGGAGCCAAACAATTATCCCCAATACTGAGCACATTTGACATCTTTAACCTGTGTTCTTTTTGGCCTTATGATAATATTAAGATGGCAGTTATGTTTATCATTATCTGTTTCAGAGCAGATGCTTTCAGGAAGGCAGAAATCCTCCTCTCACTTGCTTTTTTTGGCCTGAGCCCAAAACCTGAGGCTGGTGGAAACTTTGTGAACATAATATGGCTTCTGCCAGGGCAGTAATTGAGCAGGCAACCAGGCTGCACCTACAGGGGAATTTCTCATATGAAAAAACATAGGCCTCTATCTTAAATCCAACTTTTTTTAAAATTTAGCAATGTTGTAAGGTTCCTATATTTGAGAGCCACATGTTTTCAGTAAACATTTTTCTATATATTTTATATATTAATTGGTATTGTGACAAAAATCTTTATTAGGTTGTGTATTCTAATGGATTGTTTTAGGACTCAAGAAACTTTTAAAATTACTACATACTTATTTTATGAGTTCAAATCACTTAACTTTCCTTTGTAGGATTTTTCTTTCTTTTTTTCAGTGTGGGGGGGTGCTTCCCTGCCCCACTTGTAGGATTTTGGCTTCCCCACCAGGGACTGAACTCTGGCAGCCCTCAGGGCCCGTGACAGTAAGAGCGCAGAGTCCCAACCACTGGACCACCAGAGAACTCTCAGGTCAGTTCAGTTCACTTGCTCAGTCGTGTCCAACTCTTTGCAACCCCATGGACTGCAGCATGCCAGGCTTCCCTGTCTATCACCAACTCTCGGAGCTGGCCATCGAGTCATGCCCATCGAGTCGGTGATGCTATAAAAACATCTCCTCCTCTGACGTCCCCTTCTCCTCTTGTCTTCAATCTTTCCCGGCATTAGGCTCTTTTCCAATAAGTCAGTTTTTCACATCAGGTGGCCAAAGTACTGGGGCTTTATTTAGCTTCAGCATCAGTCCTTCCAAAGAATATTCAGGATTGATTTCCTTTAGGATTGACTGGTTTGATCTCCTTGCAGTCCAAGGGACTCTCGAGAGTCTTCTCCAACACCACAGTTCAAAAGCACCGATTTTTTGGTGCTCAGCTTGCTTTATGGTCCAGCTCTCACATCCATACATGACTAGGGAAAAAACCACAGCTTTGACTAGATGGACCTTTGTTGCCAAAGTGATATCTCTGCTTTAAATATGCTGTCAAGGTTGGTCATAGCTTTTCTTCCAAGGAGCAAGCATCTTTTAATTTCATGGCTGCAGTCACCATCTGCCATGATTTTGGAGCTCAAGAAAATATAGTCTGTCACTGTTTCCCCATCTATTTGCCATAAAGTGATAGGACCAGACGCCATGATCTTAGTTTTTTGAATGTTGAGTTTTAGGCCAGCTTTTTCGCTCTTTCAGTTTCATCAAGAGGCTCTTTAGTTCCTCTTCACTTTCTGCCATAAGGGTGGTGTCATCTGCATATCTGAGGTTAATGATATTTCTCCCAGCAATCTTGATTCCAGCTTGTGCTTCGTCCAGGCCAGCATTTCACATGATGTACTCTGCATATAAGTTAAATAAGCAATGTGACAGTATGCAGCCTTGACATACTGCTTTCCCAATTTGGAACCAGTCTGCTGTTCCATGTCCAGTTCTAACTGTTGCTTCTTGACCTTCATACAGATTTCTCAGGAAACAAGTCAGGTAGTCTGTTTTTCCCATCTCGGAGAATTTTCTGCCGTTTGTTGTGATCCACACAGTCAAAGGCTTTGGTGTAGTCAATAAAGCAGATGTTTTTCTGGAACTCTCTTTCTTTTTCGATGATCCAAAGGATGTTGGCAATTTGATCTCTGGTTCCTCTGCCTTTTCTAAGTCCACCTTGAACATCTGGAAGTTCTTGGCTTATGTACTGTTGAAGCCTAGCTTGGAGAATTTTGAGCATTACTTTGCTAGCATGTGAGATGAGTGCAATTGTGTGGTGGTTTGAACATTCTCCTGCATTGCCTTTCTTTGGGATTGGAATGAAAACTGATCTTTTCCAGTCCTGTGGCCATTGCTGAGTTTTCCATATTTGCTGGCATATTGAGTGCAGCACTTTCACAGCATTATCTTTTAGGATTTCAAATAGCTCAACTGGAATTCCATCACTTCCACTAGCTTTGTTTGTAGTGATGCTTCCTAAAGCCCATCTGACTTCGGACTCCAGGATGTCTGGTCTAGGTGAGTGATCATACCATCATGGTTATCTGGGTCATGATGGTCTTTTTTTGTATAGTTCTGTGTATTCTTGCCACCTCTTCTTAATATCTTTTGCTTCTGTTAGGTCCATACTGTTTCTGTCCTTTATTGTGCCCATCTTTGCATGAATTGTTCCCTTGGTATCTCTAGTTTTCTTGAGGAGATCTCTAGTTGTTTCCATTCTGTTGTCTTCCTCTATCTCTTTGGAAGGCTTTCTTATCTCTCCTTGCTATTCTTTGGAACTTTGCATTCAGATGGGTGTACCTTTCCTTTTCTCCTTTGCCTTTAGCTTCTCGTCTTTTCTCAGCTATTTGTAAGACCCCCTCCGACAACCATTTTGCATTTTTGCATTTCTTTTTCTTGGGGATGGTCTTGATCTCTGCCTCCTATATAATGTCACGAACCTCTGTCCATAGTTCTTCAGGCACTCTATCAGATCTAATCCCTTGCATCTATTTGTCACTTCCACTGTATAGTCGTAAGGGATTTGATTTAGGTCATACCTGAATGGTCTAGTGGTTTTCCCTACTTTCTTCAATTTAAGTCTGAATTTTGCAATAAGGAGTTCATGATCTGAGCCACAGTCAGCTCCCGGTTTTTGCTGACTGTGTAGAGCTTCTCCATCTTTGGCTGCAAAGAATATAATCAGTCAGATTTTGGTGTTGACCATCTGGTGATGTCCAGGTATAGAGTCTTCTCTTGTGTTATTGGAAGATGGTGTTTGCTATGACCAGTGTGTTCTCTTGGTAAAACTCTATTGGCCTTTGCCCTGCTTCATTCTGTACTCTAAGGCCAAGCTTGCCTGTTACTCCAGGTATCCCTTGATTTCCTACTTTTGCATCCCAGTCCTCTATAATGAAAAAGACATCTTTTTTCGGTGTTAGTTCTAGAAGGGCTTGTAGGCCATCATAGAACTGCTCAACTTCACCTTCTTTGGCATTAGTGCTTGGGGCATAGACTTGGATTACTGTGATATTGAATTGTTTGCCTTTGAAATGAACAGAGATCATTCTGTCATTTTTTAGACTGCACCCAATTACTGCATTTTGGACTCTTGTTGACTATGAGGGCTACTCCATTTCTTCTAAAGGATTCTTGCCCACAGTAGTAGATATAATGGTCATCTGAGTTAAATTCACCCATTCCAGTAAACTTTAGTTCACTGATTCCTAAAATGTCGGTTTGCCATCTCCTGACCACTTCCAATTTGCCTTGATTTATGGACGTAACATTCCAGGTTCCTATGCAATATTGCTCTTTACAGCATGGGAGTTTACTTCCGTCACCAGTCACATCCACAACTGGGCGTTGTTTTTGCTTTGGCTCTGTCTCTTCATTCTTTGGAGTTACTTCTCCACTGATCTCCAGTAGCATGTTGGGCACTTACCGAGCTGGGGAGTTCATCTTTCAGTGTCCTATCTTTTTGCCTTTTCATACTTTTCATGGGGTTCTCAAGGCAAGAATACTGAAGTGGTTTGCCATTCCCTTCTCCAGTGGACCACGTTTTGTCAGAACTCTCTCTCAAGGAACTCCCAGGGCTTTTCAATTAAACATTAGATTTGAAGCCTGCCTAGCAGAGAATCAACTTTTGAAATGCTTCCATTAGTACTTTCTTGAGGAGTTGATGTTAATTAAAAATAATTTTTTATATCAGATACTGTTTAAAGTACATATGTATTTTTAAGCCGAGCATTTTAAATTTAACTTTGTAGGTACTACTATAACCCCTTTGAGGTGAAGATGTAACTTTGTACCATTTCTGGGGAAAAATCCTCATACTAGAGTCAACTATACAGATTTTCAGTCTAAACATTAAGTATCATCTTTTGTTTGGAGGCTAGAAATTTGGCTTCTTGAAAAAAAAACCTCAAAGAGTTTATATTATGTATAAGGTGTCATAGGAAATACAATGAACATAAAATACAGTCCCTGTCTTTAACAAATTCCATGGAAAATAAAACCTAATTTCCAAGTAAATTGAAGAAACAAATTCCTGTCTTTTAATTGCAAAAGAAAATATAATCGTTAGTTTTAGCACAAAGCTTTAGAAAATCAAAACTGAAGATCAGCTTTTTGAGAATCTGGGCCCCAAGAAAAGCAAAGATAACTCCAGGTAACAATCTATATTGTTCTTCTGTGTCACAAAGACCAAATCCGATTTTATTTATTATTTTTTAAAATACAATATGACTATATTTTAATACATAACTGAAATTCAAAATACCATAGTAAATTAGCAAATCCAATTTAAAGTCCCCAAATTAACTAAGAAAAGTGTCTCTGTTTACTACTGAAAACGCTACATGGTAGAGTTCATTTTTTTCAATTAATTTCAATATAAAATATAATGTAAAAAACTATTACATAAACTTTCCCCTCCTCAGCAACATCTTTGCTCCCTTTACTCAGAGTAACCACTTCTAGGTGTGGTTGGCTTCCTTCTGGATCTTTCTCTGTATACCCTCAGACTTTTGTTTTTATAAAAAGCAGGCTCAATTTCACTTAACTTCAAGAACTTTCTAAGTCATTCATAAGAACCTCCCTTATCTTTTTAATGGCTGCTTCATATCCCATGGGCTTCCCCGGTGGAGCAGTGGTAAAGAATCCACCTGCCAATGCAGGAGACACAAGAGACATGGGTTTAATCCCTGGGTCAGGAAGATGACCTGGAGGAGGAAATGGAAACCCACTCCAATATTATTGCCTGGCAAATTCCATGGAGAGAAGAACCTGGCAGGCTATAAACCATAGGGTGGTCAAGAGTCGGACACAACTGAGCACACACAAACTGTCATATTACATAGTATGGAGGCACCAACAAAATTTACTTAACCATTCCTCACTGGTGGACATTTAGATTGCTTTCAAAATTCTCACTGTTAAGCAAAGATGCAACAAACATCTTTGTTTGCTGCATTCAAAGGCCAGACTGCTGGGTTTAAATCTTGGCACCAACATTCCTGCTTATAACCTTAACCAAGATATTTATCCTTAGTTGTCTCAACTGTACAATGGGGGTGATGATAACAGCCTTATGTGGTGGGTGCAAGGATTAAATGTGTCAGTACCTGGAAAGTGCTTAGTATATGGTCTGGCACAGAGCTAAAGTGTTCAATAACACAAGTTAACACACCTTTGCGCCTATTTGTCTCTGTTTCCTTGGGCCAGACTCCTGAGATGGAACTCTATATTTAAAATTCTGTTATTGCAAAACTCTCTCCCTAAATGTCTATATCAACTTACATTCCCACCAGCTACAGCTTCCCCACTTCCCACAACCTTGCCAACACTGGATATTAGCAATCCTTTTATGCTTTTGCCAACTGGATGGACAGCAACAAAAAAAACAACAGTATTATGTGTTCCAATTTGCATTTCCTGATGAGAATGAACATTTTTTCCATTTACTTCTTGACCATTTATAGATTTCTTTTTTCTTTTGTGAACTTCCTGTTCATATTCTTTATTTCTTTTTTCTACTTTAAATATTTTTCCTCTATTGAAAAAAAAAATCCTGGTTATTTAATATATAGTGAGGGTTCTAGATAAGTGTTTCAGTAAGGATCTTCATGAAATAAATTTTAGTTTTAGAGAGTATATAAAGCTTCATTATTTAAAATGTGAAAATAAATGGAATGAAGAGGTAAGGCGGTGGCTGGAGAATGAAGATGCTCCATATACCAGAATGTACGCTTCAGGGAAATCACTGAGAATGGGGGAGTGGGACTGGGATCCCTGGGCTGCACTCACCCACTTCCCCGCACCTGGGCAGGCGACCGTGTTAAGACTCTCTGCCAACACTGTGCCCTTCCTGAGTCTGTCATCACCCACAAAACACTGTCCCTTCCCCAGACCTATCCCCACACTTTCTATGTTTCCTTTCCCCTTACCTGCTTCTCTTTCGACCTGTGCACAGACAGTGGTTCTGAGAGCCCCAACACTGGAAAGGCTGCTCATCTACTCTAACTGCTTCTGAGGCCCTTCTTCCAACACCTGAGATGTCCCACACTGATTATTTTTATGCACAGGTAATCTGTTAAAGGCTTTTTAATAATACATGCTTCTAAAGAATGGCATTTTATTTTCTCTTTAACAAGTTTTCACTTTCACTGGTACTTTTCCTCTTCCCGTGGTGTTTTAGTGGCTCATCTATTTTTCGGGAATCAATATACCAAGGTAAAAAAGTAAACCCAACACATGGTACAACAGACTAAATTATGAATGAGACCATCACATAGCACTGCAGCAATAAAACCTTGGCTCATTTTCAATTCTATTCAGACTTGTTTACCACATATATACACAAGCAGAACATCATATGCATATGCTTACAGAAACAATAAACATATGACCTTTTGGGAAAACATCTATGTTCAATGTGAACTGAACTTGAAAGAGCAACACATCAAAAGATATTTGACTGCAATCTACATTTTTTAGGAATATTTTCCCTCATTATAAAATTAATGCATGTGTAGTAAACGTTGACAAAATTATTTTTTAAATTACCAAATAGGAAAATTAGAACCACCCAGAAGGAACTATTGTCAACTTTCTGGATTACAGTTCATGTTCTTTTTTCTCCTTCTGACTTTTACATAATGGAATCATACTCTAAATATCTAAATTTTGTTTTATTTACATACTGTAAACATTGTTTCATATCTACAGTTTACCTTTAAAATCTACTTAACAGAATTCTTACATATTAATAACAAATCTCACTGTTTCATTTTACATTCCTTTCTGGTTTTAAGTTTGGGTGTTAAAGATTGATTTCCAAATCAGACTGGGTGACAAACAGAACATACCTTTCTCCGATCTTTAAGAATCCTGTCCAAGCTCTCTTCATTAACTTTGCTTGCATAGTCATAAAAACTGTTTTTTTAAAGAGGAAAAATATTTTATTAAAATTACATAGTATTTTGACAAAAATATGCTTAGCAACTTGTGTCTATGTGTCACCTAATCCTAAAAGTTAGCAACAAAGCTACAACTGCTTATCTGCAATAGGTATATAATGGCACAGTGGTAAAGAACCCGCCTGTCTATGCAGAAGGTGCAAGAGATGCAGGTTCAATCCCTTGGTCGTGAAGATCCCCTGTGGGAGGAAACGGCAACTGACTCCAGTATTCTTGCCTGGAGAATCCCATGGACAGGGAAGCCTAGAGGGCTATAGTCCATGGAGCTGCAAAGAGTCAGACACAACTGAACAACTGAGCACACACACAATAAGTATATAAAGAAAAAATAATCTAAATGTTTTGCTGGTATGAGGTATATTTTGCATCAAAGATTACTCAAGAGACTGCTACATTCAAAAGGTATTACTTCATATGCAAAACAGAAAAAGAGACTCCGATGTATAGAACAGACTTGTGGACTCTGGGAGAAGGCGAGGGTGGGATGTTTCAAGAGAACAGCATCGAAACACGTATATTATCTAGGGTGAAACAGATCACCAGCCCAGGTTGGGTGCATGAGACAAGTGCTCGGGCCTGGTGCACTGGGAAGACCCAGAGGGATCGGGTGGAGAGGGAGGTGGGAGGGGGGACCGGGATGGGGAATACATGTAAATCCATGGCTAATTCATTTCAATGTATGACAAAACCCACTGCAATGATGTAAAGTAATTAGCCTCCAACTAATAAAAATAAATGAAAAAAAAAAAAAACCCAAAAGGTATTACTTCCATAAGTGGAAGTGCTGATACCAAGTAATTACAAAATGTGTGGTTTCAAATGACCGTGACATCTTTTCCTTGTTTCTAAGTGTCAATTATCTATGGGGGGAAAAAAGAACACAGAAGCGCATATTCTGAGAAATGAAGAAGGGAAATGAATATTTGTTGAATCCGCAGTAAGACACTCAGCTGCATGCTTACTCATGTTAATTCATTTCATTTCTGTCTCACTGCTGGGAGGTGTTCAGCCCAACAAGTCAACACTTTTTTTCCTCCCTTTTTGTAGATAAAGATACTGAGGTTAAGTGACTTGCCCCAAATCATAGAACTGGTGGACTGAAGAGCTGGAATTTGGATCTATGTCTGGCCAGCTTCAAATTGAAGGCACTCACCTTTAAAAGAGATCCATGTGACCAGGACCCTGTGAAGAGCAGTTCAGGCATAATGATGTATGACCTTTTCTATCACTGGTCCTGGTTTCAGGAATCCCATATCCCTCTTCCCCCCACCACAAGCCCAGGCCTGACAGGCAGGAAGGAGTTCAAGTTACAGCAAAAACACTGAACTGGAAGTCAGGAGATACCAGCTCCAGCTCTGCGCTGCTCCTCTCTGTATGATTGTGGGCAAGTCACTTGAACCTCACTGGCCTCCACTTTTTTCCTTGTAAAATAAAGAGTTTGGAGCAGACATATGATTTCCATGGTTTCTTTCAGTCCTACGAATGATGAGTCTATGATTTCAATTATGAGTCTATGGGTCTATGTCCCGGGTATTGCTTTACTGACAGTGGTTTAAGGAACTCCTGAGAAAGACAAGGCAGGGCACATCCAGCAAAGTCTGAGATGGTCAGGGCCAAACGACAGGACCCTCTCCAGTCCAGAGCAAGCCTGTGCGTGGCCCAGGGCCTGAGCCACTCACTGACTGCCGCATCAGCAGCCATCGATCTCACTGCTCTGAGATGCCTTTCAGAGCAGCTTCTGACTCCTGGTCTGCTTTCTGCTCCTCTTCAGTTACATGTGAAGCCAAGAGTGAGGTTCGCAGCTATCGTGGGGCTTTGTTCACAGGTAACAATCCTCTGAAAAAGGGAGAAGTCTGTGTGGGAGGGGTGGGGATAAGATGGGTAGTGAACACAGTGTAAGTCTCCAGGGTTCTCGGGTGCAGACGGGTTGGAAGTTTAGGTCAGCTGAGGATGGGAGTAGAGTCAGGGTGAAAGCTGCCGTGAACACACGGCAGGAACAACCTGGCACAAGGGGCTGGCAGTGTCAAGGCAGGAGGTGCCAACCCAGAACGCTGAACCCAACTGGCATGGGCAGAAGTGCAAGGACGGGACAGGCCTGGCTCTTCACAAAGGAGAAGAAGAGGGCCTCAGGGAGTTTTAAGAAACACAAGAGTGGAGGTCATCATATCTGTCAACAGGTGGAAGGGCTAGGGGCTCCGGACAGAGGCAGAGGCCTGGACTGCAGCTTGGGGAGCAGAGGTCTGGTGGAGGTGACAGGCTGGTCACTTTCTCCCTCACCTTTGCCTCCATGGGTGTTCCTGTCACTTACTTTCTCCCTTTGAATGTCTCTCCTCCTGTTTCTTTCTTTCTGTCCTTTAGTTGGTCAACATACAACTGGTATATATTAAACTCAAAAAAATAAGCTTTATGTTCCCTTTTCTTACATTTTAAAGTTGTACACTGAACAGTTTTTATCCCTCTTACAATATGCTTTTATCTCTATGTGATCCTTGATGAACTGCTTTCTATATGGTTGATGAGTCCGTGCTAGAAAGGCTGGCAGGAAGGCTTCCATTTTAAACCACTGAGGCCAAGATTTATCTGCCCTCCCTTCCCCTTTTCCTAACTTAACACAGTGCTATATACACACATCTGGCACTCAGTAAATCAGTGAACTTGGACCCCCTCAGTTATACTTAAAACACTACAGCCATAATCAGATACATGTCTGAGTTCATTAGTTTTCAATCAATTAATCTTTTAGTAAGGATGAAAAGCTACAAAGAAGGATGTGGCTTACCTAAAAAGTTTTGAACAAGGCTGATGGTTATGGATTTCTGTAATCAGAAAGAGGAAATACATCTCAGTTAATCATGTAAGATACAGACAACTATAAAATAGCTCAGGATTTAAAAGAAACTTTAAACCCAAATCTCAGACAATAAAAAGACAGTTTTCCTCTCCCAAAGAGTGTATACACTAGTGAAGGCAGTGTGTCTCCTTAACACTTAAACTCAGGGACACCCTCTCAGGACAAAGTAAAACAGCAAATGACGGTTCTGGGTCCATCTGTCGGCGTGCGATAAGCACACGCCTGAAAGCTTTTATTCAGGATCACGCAGCTATTGTGTGCTCCTAGTCAATCTTACCTTTTTCCAAGAGGAAAAAGGAACCACTGATTCAAAGTATTTAATCGAGGTGGATAAAAGCTGTCAGGACAGCTTGAGGAAAGGAGGGCCTTAACCACTCTGCCATCAGTAACCCACTAACAATGCAGGACAACTGGGCCAAGTGTTTTGAAGGGGAAGGGTGAAAACTCTGGAAGTTTATTAGTCCTTTCAAAGCTTTTCAGCACAAGGGAAACAGCCATTTATAAGGCAGAGCCAAACAACTTCTGAAAAGATTGCTGTGATTTACTGTAGTGAACCATTTCTTCATCAGGGGGCTTAGGGTCTGGGTTGACGTACAAGACCATGGGACTAATTAACCACTCAATTCTATTAACAACATTCTCCTGGCCAGCGACTCATCACCTGCTGCTTATAAAGCCACAGCCACAGAGTTCCAGGCTGCAATTTTAACTCAATTAAAATGAAACCACAACCCTGAAGGACACTGGGCTATGCCCATTAGCTTCTGTACCGATGAGTGCTGCCAAAACACACAAAAATGCCAGTACTTCCACAGGGAAGAAAAGATTATTTGCCGAGTATAACTGTCAACATAGTGATGCAAACTGGAAAATCTCATCTAGAAATCCTCTCTTTTTATTACCAAAAGTGATACAGTATACCATCAGAAGTTATTTCAGAGATACTGTCAGTAAAGTAATTAGACTGCAGAACATCTGTAGTAAAAATGTTAACTAGAGTTCAGGGGAATGAAAAAAAAACTCCTCATCTTCTACTTGAAAGGAAAGAATATTTTGTTTAAAAAAAATCCCTAGAGTAAATTCTGAACTCTGAAGACACACTCCTGTCATCAATCCACCCCAGCAGACTTCCTTCATGATTTACAACCTGGATGAGAAGCATACTGAAGATATGCTCTAGATACCACACTGTATTTTCTACAGGGTCAGAGCTTTCTCCTACAAGATTCTGCAATGCCTAACTAAGCACTCCGTGGAGAAAGCAGGGTGATGCTTTCAAACACGATTAAGCTGCAGACTGGTGTGACGCTGGCGGCCGTGACAGCTGCTAGGCAGACTTCTGGAAGCAGGGGAGCCAGGGCAGTCTGGCCTGGGATTGCAGAGTTCTGGAGGCCTCCAGAGCTTGTCCGCCTGGTGGAGCCCTCTTCATACGTGCACGGTGCTTTCTGCACCTCTGTGAACATCCCCACGGGGACGCATTGCTGGGCCGGCTCATCTTCCTGTCGCTGCTTCTCCTGCTGGTGGGTGGGTCGAACAGCCCCTCTCATCCCTGCTTCCATCTTTCCAGGAACTGCTGCTGCCCTCACCTCGTTAGCTAAGGGAGCTCTCGCGTTGCTCTCTCCTCCCGGCCACTCCTGGCCATTCCCGGCACGAGGGGCAGATAGATGCACTTCAAGTGTGTGAGCACCGCTTTAAAAATGAATGTGTTCAAGACGGGTGCTCCCTCAAAGCATGGCATTTCATATCAAGTCCTCCTTATTGTGCGGAGTCAGGGAAAGGTGTCCATGCGTGGATTCAGGCATTTTCAACAAATACGAAATTGGGTCAATTTATTATTTTATAATATGCTGGAGGTTAAACTATCCAGAAAATTTCTTTGCACTAGTGGTTTGAAATACCTCTCCTGGTACGTTTGTTATCTAACGCTTGGTCCTTTAATCCAGGTTTTCCAGGGTCCCAGTTTACATTTTCTAATATTGATGTGTATTTATTTTTAAATGAAAAACACCACTAAAAAAAGAGAAAAAGACTACAATGATAACCATACATTTAATACTAGCAAATACTCTGTTACGAGACCCATGATTGTTTCAAACAATAAACTGAATGTAGCTAATAAATTAAACATTGTACAGCAAAAGAAGGTCGTCATCATGGCCCTGCATTACCTGGGTCTCTCTAGCCGCTGGCACGTCTCTGTATCTGTAATACCATGGGAATTGGCATTTATGAATCAAAGATAAGAGTACACTATGTTGGAGAATTTAAATTACTTTACTATTCTGTTTCCTCAAAGATAAATAAACAGCCAGAACACTCACCAGAAATGCTACTTTTGTGATCATGCCAGGCAAAAGCTCTTTCTTGCATGGTGTGCCGTCAGGTCTTTCTGGCAAACCCTCATACGCCACATTAGTTTTGAAAACCCAAGTGCAAACAATGAATAATTGCACAGATGGCCAATGAAACTGAGTTCTCTATTTTAGGGTTTTTTAAAGAGTTAAGCAAGACAAAACACAAAAATAAAACCTCCGTGAAAGAGCAGCTACACCACAGCATGTCAAATATCAAGTATTTATTTACCAAGTCAGTATTGTGGGGAGTGGGTTTCATAGTTTTGGATCTTTAGGAGACAGCTATCTCTTGTGTTCCCTGACCCTCACCACCTGAGTCCTCACCCTGGCCCTAGCCCAGGTACTAGAAGGCTACGAGAACAGGCCGAAATCAATGCTTTGGCCTCAGCATAACCTAACCTCCTAGCAGTATATCAAAACACAAGCCACTCACCTTCACACAGTCTGTGTTCTAGTCACACAGAAACAGGCCAGGCTCCCCGCATGTTTTATGCACTCCCTGCCCTGAGGTGCCCTGGACATACCACTCACTGGCCCTCAGCTCATCTCCCTCATGGTGTCGTTACTGATTTAACCCAATGGCATTTTTACCCCCCCAACTCATGAGATTGTCTTTGTTCCTCTCTGACAGCACTCAGCCTGCATGCGCGGTATTTCTGTAAACCTGTCTTCCTCTTCTCACAGTTCTGGAAGGCAGAGACGCACCGGACATTCCTCTCACTGCCCAGCACACGTCTCATGCACTGACGTTTTTCAGTGATTGTTGGTTGCATAAATGAATGAAACAGCCCTTGCTCTGTTTTCAGTATCAGGATATGCTGTTTGGTGATGTGCATCAGGTGCAGTTGCAAAACAGTATGATCCTTATTTATCAAAAGGAGACTGATCCAAAGAGCCATGCACCTACAAAACACCTTCATTTTCCCCAGTAAGCTCCCCCAAATTGACTGGCTTATTCCTCAGAAAGCTGTGTGGGTCTGACAAATATCTTCTCTAAACAAGTGTAAACATCTTTGCCAGATCCCTCTAGGAAGGACAGGCACAACACGTGCTTTCATTATAGTATGAAGTGATGCTGACAATGGGCACAGCCCAAGGTGCACACTCGGGGTTCACCATGGCTGTGAAGAGACGTGTGTAATTCCACACAGCCATTCACAGGTCAGACCACTTGGGTCAGGGACAGTGTCACAAAACACCTGAACTTACAGACTCGCACTGTGGGTTTATGCTGACTTACAAAAAACATTTCATATCATTCCTAGTAAAAATAATTGGCTTTGTGATATGAGTGGCTTTCTATGTACTCTTTAAGTCTACTGTTAGGTTACAATCAGTCAATGGCCAAAGAACAAAACAGGGCGCATATATACAAGAACAGTATTTCTCAGGTCCGTGATAAGCTCTCTTACCGATTACTTGCAGAAATTCTGTGTTGCTGATTTGGGAGTCACTGATGCTGAAGGTTTCCTCTTGCCTTACCTCTCCCAGCAAAAATCCTTCCTGAAAGCAATGGAAGAAGAGAGTTGCAGCTAAAAATAAAAATGATTTTTACTGGAATTAAGAGGAATTGAGGATATTACAATTTTATAATAATTTTAACAATAATCCAAATAAGCTTGTTATGTAAACTACCACTCCACAAACCAACAGGTATACGGCTAAAGTACTTTGAGACACAGCTATTAACTGAACCGTTTGAATACAGGATTCCATGCAAGACGAAATATTATTTTAATCCCTTCCCCTAAAACCCTGTTTTTCTGAAGTGAAAATAAGTAGAGTGAATTCATCACCTAAATCCCACTAAGTGTAGCAAGCAACATCAAAAAAGCTCAGAAAGCAGAAATATTCTAGGCTGCTTTCTTGAAACAGCATGTAATTTATTTCATTGTTTTAAAAACTCTGCTAATGACAACAGGGTAAAGAAAGAAGTTAATACAATGCACAGCTGCTCCTGTATGGGATGGCAGGAGAAATTGGGATTCCAGGAAATGAATTTTTCACTAGGTCAAAGTTTTTCCCTAATAAATGCTGAGATAAAGTGATTTACTCCTTTGAGAACACACACCACCATTGATTCTGGATTACTCAGCATATAACCTACTGCTTGGGCATTTGCTATAGAGTTCAGCACAAGCACTGCTGGAGGAGAATGTACACTCTAAACGTCAAACAGCATCCCTGTGGGTGGTGAACTAAGAGGCTGTCCCAGACTTCCCCTCCCTAGGCATCCAACACGGCTTACTCCTTCCCTCCATTTGGCTCCTCACTCAAATGGCACCTTATCAGAGAGGCCTTCCCTGGAGAGTGGAACAGAATCAAGAGTCTGCCACACTCTGTTCCCTTTACCCTGCATCCTTTCTCCTCTCATATTTTTCTCGTATTTCATATTTACACATACTGATGAATGCCTGCTCCGACTAAAACATGAGCTCCCTAAGAGCTGGGATTCTATGTTCACTGTGTACTTCAGCACCCCGCATGGTGCCCAGCACACAAGAGTTGCTCAGCAAAGAGTGGCTGAAGACATTTGGGGAAACAATGTCCTTTCTATTGTAGGTTGATTCTTCGAATAAATTTCCTAGTTTAAAAAGTCCCAGTTGGAATCTGTGGGGGTGAGGATGGAGAGATAGAGGCTTTTCAGCATAGCTGAATACATACATAACTCAATACAAAATATTGAGTTAGAGGAGTGGAGTGTCATAAAAATCCCAAATCAGGCTTCGCTGGTGGCTCAGTGGTAAAGAATCTGCCTGCCAATGCAGGAGACACGGGTTCAATCTCTGGTTCAGAAAGATCCCACATGCCGCAGAGCAACTAAGCCTATGTGCCGTTAAGCACTGAGCCTGGGCTCTAGAGTCTGGGAGCTGCAACTCCTGAGACCATGGGCCACAACTACTGAGGCCCAAGCACCTAGAGCCTGTGCTCTGCGACGAGAAGCCATTGCAATGAGAAGCCTGTACACTTCAACTAGAGAGTAGTCCCCGCTCACCACAACTGCAGAAAAGCCCATGCAGCAATGAAAACACAGTAAAAAAAAAAAATTATATATGTACTAGAGAATCCGTGACTAGTAGTCTGGAAAACATGGACTAAAGAAGCTTGTTTTATCCTATGAAAGTCTTTCATTATGAGTTCTTACTACAAAAGACAAGCTGTGCCTTTGTAACAGGTTAGAAACATTTTTCTTTAATCAAAGTGGAAAATAAAATTGAAGATTCCTACACAACTTTAGACTTTAATATCTACATATTCCTAGTGTTCCATGGTCCAAGGTTGCCAAATTTAGCGAATAAAAATGCAGGATACCCAGTTAAATTTGAATTTCAGATAAATGATGGATAATTTTAATGTAAGAAATGGGATATATTTATACTAAAAAAGTATTTACTATTTATTTAAAATTCAGATTTAACTGGGTGCCTTGTATTTTATCTGGCAGGCCTTAGTTTGAAAAAGTCAACAATGACATCAAAACATTGTAAAGCCAAGTATAACACAGATGCTTATTTATCTATTGGTTGGATTATCTGAACCACTGTTCCTTTATAAGAGTAGGCAAACTATAGTGTGTGGGCTAAATCCAGCCTAATGGCCGTTACTGTATGGCCTACAAGCTTAGAATAAGTTTCTACACTTTTAAATTGCTGAAATAAAAGAGAAAATGGGAGTAATATTTCATGATGTGTGAAAAATTATATAAAGTTCAGCTCTGTGTCCACAAGTAAAGCTTTACTGGAAGCAGTCATTCTAACTTATTTGTCTGTGGCTGCTTTCTCCCTACAACTGCAGGTCTGAGTAGCTGCTAGAGAGGCCACAAGGCTCAGGAAGCCTAAAATAATCGCTGTCTGGCCCTTCACAGAAAAAGCCTGCTAACTCCAGCACTACAGAAAAATGAGTGGCTTTAAACTAATTTCTTGCCAGGACAAAACAAGAATATACTACAAAAACAAATTCTTGGCTCTTCAACTTAAAATTATGTGAAATTGAAATTATTTTAAAGTAGTCTACATATGTAACTGTGGCAAGGTATCCTTGTAGAGTATAAGATACAAGTTGCAAACTATTGCCATTGGTAAAAATTTCTATGAAGTCTGGCACCAGGCCTGGCATAGTGCAGATACCAGAGAAATATCTCTTGAATCAAGTTAGTAACAATCTAAGTAACATGGCCATCTCACTGTAGACTGTAAAAAAAAAAAAAAACTAAAACTATCCACTTTTCAACAGGTTGCTTACAGTAATTTTGCTTTATACATAAACTGCGATATTACTAGGCACTCCAAAACTACAAAGGTTAAGAAAAAGGACTGAAACCATATTTAACACTTCCATGGGACACAAGCAGGATCACAAATTACCTGTACAAGGAAATGCATTACATTACTAAAGAGCTGGCTGCAGTATCAACGGCCTTAGTGTCCAGAGACAGGAGCTGCCTCTGGAAAAACCCATGTTGTGTATATTTCTATAGTTGATCTCTACCACCCATGTTGTGTATATTTCTATAGTTGATCTCTACTACTGAACTAAAGCAATGGACGGTACAACACTTTAATGCCATCCAATCACCTCTCTACGAAATCAGTTTTATTGATGGAAGCCAGGATCGCAGACAGTTCCCTCTTCTGCAGTCTTCTCATTTTGCTTTGTAATGACAACACCCTCTCTCCCACTACATTTATTTAGTGAACTTAAATCATTCACTACTCAAATCATTTTAACACAATCTCAACTTGGTGGGCAAACACGTAAAGATAAAAATTATCTAATGTCATAAAAGAATTTCCATCCAGAAGCCAGGGACATTAAAAATGCACTTCCGATCACTCATACGTAAAGGCCTGTCACTTCCCTATTTTCACTAAGACTAGTTCCCGGGTCTTAGAACATTCGCCAGGGAACTAAACAGGCAACGGCAAGGCCAAAGGAGACCCTACACCGAACACTCCTAGTTACATCTGCAATTTTCATCGAGGCGAAGAAAACACACACTCGCATCTAACAAGTAAAGAGTAGTGACAGCCATGGTAACCCTCGTCGCACCCGACAACAACCTGTCAGACCAGAGGGCGCGGCTGGGAGCCTCCGCTCCTAAACTGAAGCGGGGGTCTCTCGGTTCCTTCCCGACCCCGGACAACCCTCACTAGTCTCGAAGCCTGACTCAGGGAGGAGCAGGCGCTGGGTTTCCAGGACTAAGCGACTCCTGACACTGTCGGTGGCCGGCCGGGAAAGCCCTCCCCACCGGGAGACTGCCGTCCCGGGACGGCCATGCCGATGAAAGGCACCGACTGAGGGGACGCCTATCTCGGGGCGGGGGGCGAAGGAGACCCGGGCAGCAAGAGTTCGCCGGCAGCGGGAGCCTCCCGGGTCATCAGTTCCTACGGCCAGCCCAGGGGGCGAGGGGCAAAGGATCCCGGCTTGGCCACAGGCGTCGGCCTGAGACCGAGGCCGGAGGTCCGAGCAGCCGCGGCGGGTTGCGGGGAGCGGTGGGGGGCCCAACACCTACGTGGTCGGCGTTGCTGTTGGCGCTGTGGAAACACACAGCGCTGAAGGTGTAGCCCGAAATGGAAGCCGCCATGATGGAAAGCTCCAACTCCCCCATCATGCTCCGCGGCGGGCACGGAGCCTTCCGGCCGGCGAGCCCCTTGGCATGCTGGGAAATGAAGTCTTCGACCGGTGAGGCCAAGGGGCCCGAGAGGCCCCGGAGTGAGGGGTGAGAGGTGCAAGGTGTGTCGCCTTCACCACCGATTCCAGCACTGCATCTTCCGCGTGCAGTCTCGCGCTCTGCACATCCCAGACACGGCGCCTTCTGGTCTTGGTCGTTCCTCATACAGATTTTTCTCTTTGCAAGCGAAACTTTTTAGTATTAAAAGCCAGCATTTGCCATGCTCAAGGATAAAGGAGGGAGTTGATTTAGGCACTTGTACGGTTTGGGGTTGACGCAGAAGTAACATGATGTGACTTCAGTTTCCACGTGACCCCTCTGGCTGCAATGTCCAGGACATAGTGGCCGGGGAAGGGCGCCGTCACAGTCCAGACGCTGGGTGCTGGTTTGGGGGTGGTTAGAAGTGAGATGCTGGTGGCACTGGAGGTGTTAAGAAGCAATTGGATTCTGAGTACGAAAGAAGACAAATATAATGAAAAATCCATGGGAATAGGATAAAATCAGCATAAATAATAAATAACAGTGAAAATGAACTACAACTAACCTCGGGGAAGAAAGTAAACTTCCTAATCATTATTCTTCAGTTTGTTCAGTCTTGTGGGTTCAAAACTGAGATTGTAATCTCTCACAGAGCTCCTCCTAGCACACTTCTTTCAAACTCAGCGAACTGAACTGTTTTCTGACAGTTGCACAGGCCAGCAACCTTGGAACATTCCTGATGCTCCCCTTTGATCAGTCAACATAGTTTTCAAAAACATATTGAGAATCCTACAACTTGCCACCAGCATACCCATCACAGTGGTCCAAGCTATCCCAGATCACTGTGCTGCTGCTGCTAAGTCGCTTCAGTCGTGTCCGACTCTGTGCAACCCCATAGACAGCAGCCCACCAGGCTCCCCCGTCCCTGGGATTCTCCAGGCAAGAACACTGGAGTGGGTTGCCATTGCCTTCTCCAATGCATGAAAGTGAAAAGTGAAAGTGAAGTCAGTGGTGTCAGACTCTTAGCGACCCCATGGATTGTAGCCTACCAGGCTCCTCCGTCCATGGGATTTTCCAGGGGAGACTACTGGAGTGGGTTGCCATTGCCTTCTCCCTCGGATCACTGTAACAGCCCCTAATTCAAGGGGTCTGAACTGGAGGCAGTTTTGCCCCACAGGACAGCTGACAAAAATGAGACATTTTTGGATGTTATAACTGATGGGGGTGGGGTGGGGAGGGGGTGTGGGGTGCCACCTGCATTTAGTGGTGAGAGGTCAAGGAGACTGCTAAATATCCTACAACGCATAGGACAGACCCTCACAACAGAAAATGATCCTACCCCAATGTCCATTGAATGAGGATGAAAAAGGCAGTGTGCTCCCACTTCTGCCTTTAACCCTCTCCCAACCAAATCTGTTCTCAGCGTTATCAGTCAAAACTGTCACACCAAAGCTTAAATTTAAGTTTTGTTGCTTCTTGGTTAAATCCCAAACCTTACAATGATCTGACTACTTCATTTCTTGCTGCTGTCTCCTTTGTTCACTCTGCTACAGCTACACTAGACTTCTTTCTGCTTCCTGGATAATCAGGGGCTTTGCACTCACTGCTCTGTTCACCTGGAATGCTCTTCTCCCAGAAAGCTGCAAGTTTACTCCATAGTCTCTGCTCTAGATGTGGTGATGTGTGACCCAAACGTCCCCTTGTAAGACTGATTGAATTATTCTTCCAGGTGCTGACAGCTCTTTCTTGGATTTATCCTTCGTGGAATTCTCATTGTCCAAGCTCAGTCCTCTTTTTCTGGGCAAAAAAACATTCGAGGTCTGGTCAGTGTATCCACAGATGAATAAAGGCCCACATCCTTCAGTCCAACCTGAAAATTCCAACGGATCATCCCAGCTTCACAGTGTCCTGTCAAGGGAGAGGGTGTTAGCCAAGGCTCCGTTGTGATGGTACCCCAGCCTGACGACTTCCTCTGTCCAACCCTGCTTCTCTCTTTTCCCCAATAGGTGGTGATCTTGAGAGCAGTCCCTAATTTCTTCCATGTTCATCTCAGTCTTACAGTCTGCTTCCCTGGGGACACAGCCTGTGGCAAACTCTTTTAGCTTTTCACTCAGTGCTACCCTCTCAGAGAATCCATCCCTTCTGACCCTAACCAGGATCATCTGGAATCTGACTGTTGTTTTGCCAGTTGGGCAGCATTTGAGAACTCCTGAAAGCACAGTTTCAGAGAAGCTGTAGGTAAGCAGGGGTCCAGCTGCAGGGACTGGCAGAGTGAGAGGGCCACAGGCAACCCAAAGTACACTCAGGGCCTCCCTCCTGTCTTGTGTAACTTGCACCTGGCAGAAGGAACTGTGTTCCTTGGCACATTCCAGTTTCTCCCTGGTGATGGGCAGCTCTGCTCTGATCCAGCTTCTCCATCCCCCCACCAAGAATGTTGTCCTGGGAGATCAGAGGTGGTGCCCCACTCAGGACTCAACACTCAGAGTAAGCCTGGAGCCAAAGAACGAACTCTGTATAAATCATGGTTTTTTTTCCAGGGCTCCATACTAACAACTGTTTACAGCATTCATCACACAGAGCAAAAACATCTTAAGTGTTGGCAAGACATCAGATTGAACAGAGTCTTATCTTTCATGGGCGCTTCTTAATTAGAACCTAAAACCTTTTAAGACCCACTCAGTCACATTCAAGCTCACTCTCTCCAGCATTGAGCATCAAGTCTAGAAAAGATCAAAACAACCATTCACTCAGGGTAGCCCTAATTGACTGTGGCATCTGGTGGTTTTATTACTCTGTAATAAGGTTACTTATGCACTTTCTTGAGTTCTTTAATCACTATACACATAGGTTCCCATCTGTCTTTTACTGTATTCTACCACCAGCACTTGCCTGAAGATCTTGGGATGTCTTGCGTCACAGGGTATGTACATGCGGTCCTAACTGGGATTTCTGTGAGCTGGAAAAGCAACTGTTGATGCCGCTCACCTCCAGGGACTTGTTAACGGGCTTCTGTCTGCCAGGTCAACAGAAACGTGGCCTAGGAAACAGGCATTTTGCTTGGAAGGCAGCCTTGCTAGGAGCCTTTGAGATTCTTGCTTAGGATATAGGACTAGCAGTATTTCATGGCTGCTACAGGTGTGCCCCCAGACCTTTGGCCCACAGGATCTCTGGCATTATGCTGCAAAATCCCAAAGGAGCCTTTGAAATTCTTGCTTAGGATATCAGATTAGCAGCATTTTGTGGCTGCTATAGGTGTGCCCCTAGACCTTTGGCTCACCGGATCTCTGGCATTATGCTGCAAAATCCCAGCATCCGTCCCACCAGGAGGTGGCTGAATCTCAGATTCACTGGTTAGGAGCAGTCTTTCCCCAGTGATGTGCTCCTGCGGAAGCTGAAGCACACGGAGGTTAGGGGTCTTGGAAAGGGCCAGGTGCCTGTTTAGCAGCAGAGCAGAGACAGCATCTTGACTTCACTTAGAGCTTTCTTCTCACTCAGCTCTCCTGATACCCGTGGTTGGCTTACTTGGGCGGGAGGGAAAGGGTGGGGGTGGGGTACCCTAGGGCATTCATTTCACCTGGCATAAAGTCCTTCCTCCACCAATGACGTCAAGTCAGAAGAGGCCAGAATGCTAATTTTCAAGGCAGGATGCCAGCCACAAATGGAATTAGCCTTGGGCAGGAATGCCAAATACTGCGATGGTCCGTCCCACCCATTTCTCAGATATGCCCACGACGTGGAGAGATGAGGTGATCTGTACATGTGGGTTGTTGAACAGCGTCAGCTTAGTTATCTGGTGTGGCTTCCCCACCGCCGGGCTTTTTCCAAATTGCAATCGCTTGAATAGTCCCTCACAAACAGCCGTCCCCATATCTAAGGTGCACATAACGCCGGGCACCCAGAAGCAGTGGGTGAGCCTGACGCTGGCTGGAGCGAGGGGGGACGGGGGCGAGGCCTAGCCCCATGCACTCCTGGGCTAGGGTCCGAGGTGGCGTCAGGAGGAGCGCAAGACAGCCGACCCCGCGGGGGCCGGGAGCAGTAGAGAGGGCAGCCTCCCGCCTCCTAGAGGCGCCAGCCCGCCCGTCCGCTCTGCCCGCGCCGCATCTCTATGGCGGCCCCAACGGCCGTCCGGGGCGCGGAGCGCGATGAACGAGGGCGCGGACGACGGCGGCGGCGGCGCGGAAGGCGCGGCGCGGTCCCTAGGGTGCGGCCGCGGAGGGGATGGCTTTGTCCCGTCTGCGCTGGGAACCCGAGAGCAGTGAGTGTGGCGCGGGGCAGGGAAGGATGAGCGTGGCTGTCTGGCCCGGGCCCCGGGAGCGGGGACGGAGACATGGAGCCCTGACGTGGTGGTGGTGGTGGTGGTGGTGGTGGGGGTCCCGGTGGTGGGGGGGGGGGGTCCCGGAAGATGGGGGGAGCCTGAGGGGGACGTGATGGGTGGAAGCCGCAAGGGCCACCTTGGGAGAGAATCAGGGGGACCTTAGGGATGGAGTCCGGAGGGCCACACTGTGAACAGACCTTTCAAAGACTTTGACGTCTAAGGGGCCCGTGGGGGTGCGGGGCGGGCCTTAAAGCTCCTGGGTGGGCTTTTTAAGGGGGTCTTAAGCTTTTGGGGGTAGGCTCGAGTAAAGGGTGGTGGTGGTGAAGACTCTTGAGAGTCCCTTGGACAGCAAGGAGGTACAACCAGTCCATCCTAAAGGAAATCAGTCCTGAATATTCATTGGAAGGACTGAGGCTGAAACTCCAATACTTTGGCCACCTGTTGCTAATAACTGACTAACTGGAAAAGACCCTGACGCTGGGAAAGATTGAGGGCAGGAGGAGAAGGGGACGACAGAGGATGAGATGGCTGGATGGCATCACCGACTCAATGGACATAAGTTTGAGCCACCTCCGGGAATTGGTGATGGACAGGGACGTCTGGTGTGCTGCGGTTCATGGGGTCGCAAAGAGTTGGACACGACTGAGCGACTGAACTGAACTGAGGAAAGGGAAAGAGCGTGGGTCTGAGAAGTAGGGCTGGTGGGCAAGGGTAGGAGGCTGGGCGACAACTGCCCGGCTAGGGACCTGGAAAGGTTCAGTGGAGGAGGGCAGGGACGTGGAAGCTGGGAAGGCTGGAATCGAGGATGGTCTAAGGAGGAAGCGAGGAGACAGTGGGCATCTTGGGGTAGGAGAAAGCCATCTGACCCAAGCGGACGCTCAGTAATCGTGTAGTGGGTTAGTAGATGGATGAATGAGTGACCCTGGGGAAAGGTAAGGATGAGAGGTAACTGGGAGGCACACCAGGCATTCTAGAGACAGAAAGTAGGAAGAGGCGGCCGTCTATGGGGGAGGAGTCCTTAAAAGGAGTAAGATAAGTTTTAAACTTAAAGCTAACTTTGAAGCGGAGCTTATCTTTGATGCATTACATTGTGAGTAATCACCTCACTGGTAGAAAATTCTCTTATCTCTACACCTGAGGCTGAAATGTACTGTAATGACACTGCCTGTACAGTTTTGGACTTATGTTTGGGACTTACGGATCCTTGGACGGATACTCCTTTGTATTTTTTAAGCTAAACCACCGTTTTTAATGTTAGGCATTGTTGTAAGTGCTTTGCATGTATACATTTAAACAGGAGAATGTTAAGAGATTGAGCGATGTGCACATGTCAACACTAATAATGTTTTAAATTTGTCATAACTACCCCAGTAATGTATGAGAAATATACATTGAATTCATAATACAGTTTAATTCAATAGTTTGCATTGCATTTGATTATTTATATAGTTGGGATGCTGTCTATAAGAGAGAACTGCAAACTTTCCAAGAATACGGAGATACAGGAGAAATCTGGTGAGTCTGAAAAAGTACTGGGATTATGATCCAGAAGGTTATGTCAGTGTGTGCGTGTATCTTTTAAGTGCTTATCCCAGAGAAAGTAAAAATCTTGGGAACCTTGGACTGAGTCTGGCTTAAATGGGTAGATTTAAAGAATCACTCTCTTTTCTTTTTTAATGGCCTAGGTATAAATTTGATGACAGTCTTAGGAAATGACCTGATTCTATAATTGTCTGTTTTCAATAAGCAATGCAGTTTTGAGCCAACAACATGTACAAATGTTAATGCTGATGTAGAGAAATGTTGATAAGTAATATATCAACCTTATCCATTCTGTTCTGTTCTTGGGGGTGTTTTCTGCTTAATAATAGAGATGAAGATTAAGTTTACAGATAGTATTTCTTTCAAAAAAAACCTTAATTGAGCATATTGAATAAGCTGTGTAGGTGGGATATAGCTGTAACCTTTGTTCTCTAGCCCTTGGTAGTTTGACTGATTCTCTCTTTCTAATAGGTTTGGAGAAGAGAGTATGACTCGACTAATAAGGTGGATGCAGAAACACAAGATTCCATTGGATGCTTCAGTGCTTGATATTGGAACTGGAAATGGTGTTTTCCTGGTTGAACTTGTTGGTACTATTAATATTCATGTGTTAGAGCCAAATTTAACAATGAAATTAGGAAGAAAAATCTTGCAACTAGGGATACTAGCAGGCTAAGTCTAAAGTAGTAAAGCTGTCATGCCACGTAGTCTGAGAGTCGCATAGTATGAAACGAGACTGAATGGGTTGTTAGAGAGCACTAAATGAGAATCCGGGGGGGGTCTGAGTTCTAGTCTTGGTCCTTGCTGTAGTCTCGACCTTGAACAAGCTCTTTTTTTCTTTTCTCAGCTTTAGTTCTTTCTTAAAGATTTTACCTATGGGTTTACTCTATGGGTTTCTTCTAGCTCAAAACTCTGGAAATCTGTATGTATTGCAATATAAAAGGAAGATGATTTTTTGCACTTCCAGTAGAACATGTATCCCTCTTCTCAGGTGAGCACATGGTTTGAAGGGTGTTTTGCATATGGTTTGAAAAGAGCATTTTGTCCATGGAACTAAGTTTTGGTGCAGGGTCTGCTCCTAGCTAAACTGTCGCGGTTATATACCTATAGTGCCAAGTGCTGTGGAGGAAGTGTAAGACAGGCTTCATCTTTGACAGTTTTACTGTCTTAGTTTATAAGGATATATACATAACAGTCAAACATATTAAGTGACTGCTACCTGCCAAGCCTTGTGCTGAGCACTGGAAACATGAAAATTTAGACCTTGGTGCTTGAGTTGTTCACAGTACAGTAGAGGATAGACTGACATAGATATAAATAACTAATGCTACAGCTTGGTCTGTGCAATAATATATATGCTGAGTACAGGAAAGAGAGTGATTAAAGGGAGTGATTTGGGGAAGAGGGAAGAGAAAGGGTCTTAGAGGAGCTAATATCCAAGATTGGTGGAAATTGTGTGTTGAGTGTGAGTAGAGTGTGAAGAGGGAGAGAATTTCGAGAAGTGAAAACAGTATCTAAAGCCATGAAGGTTTGAAACAGCATAACATGTTCTGGCCCTCTAAATAATTTGGTAAATTAGATTATAAAGTGTATTGTGGGATAGACAGAACAGAGGATTAGATTAAAAGTAGGAACCATATCATATGCCATGCATAAGAGCTTGGATTGTGCTTTTAGGCTATGGGGAGCCATTCAAATGTTTGAAGCCATGAAATATGATTGGAAAAATTTGTAATAATTTTTTTGAAACGTTGGGGTGTTGCATATGTACATTAAAGTGTGCAAACCAAATGAGTATGGCTCAGTGCATTATCACAGTGAATAGATCTATCACGCTAATTAAGATGTAGACTATTACAGACTCTAGAAACCCCCCTTGAATTCCCTACTAATCCTCTCAGAGTTATTCCTTCTTCCTCTCTAAAGGTTATCACAGCATAGACTAATTTGCCTATTTTGGATATATAAATGCAAGTCTTCAGTGTGTTCTTTCCAGTGTCTTTCGCTCAGCAGTCTGTGAGAGTCACTCAATTTGTTGCTCGTAGTAGTTCATTCATTTTTGTTGCTGTATATGATTATTTGTATGATTATATCACAGTTTTACTTATTCATTCTGTTGTTTACCTGTGGATTCTTTGGATTTTAGTAGCTTACATGTAGAGGCTAATGATTTATCCTTTGAGACTGATAATTTAATTATAGGTTCTTTTATAGACTGAAAGACTAACACACACACACACACATATAATTGTGCAAACTTTAAATAATGGTAGTTTTAATCTTTCCTTTCCAATCCTTTGTAATCTCTCCCCCTTGTTATACTGGTTGGGATCTTTGGGAGAATATAAAAAATTAGTTGTGACAGAAGACATCCTTGTCTTTTTTTGCCCCTTTCAGAGAATACATTTGGTGTTTCACTGTTAGGTATGATGTATCTTATAAGTTAGTTTTGTAGATAACTCTGTTATCAGACCAAAGCTTCCTCCTATTTCTCCTTTGCTAAGTATGTGTGTGTGTTGTTATTGTTTAAATGTTTTTCCTGTATCTATTGAGATAATCATGTGAATTTTTTCCTTTATTCTGTTCAGTTTAAATGCATTTAGGGAATAAATCCAACTGATATATAGTAGATCAGTTTGAGAAGGATTTACATCTTTATAATGTTGAGTCTCTGAATCCATGAACTGATGAATTCGTCCATTTATTTAGTCCTTAATTTTCTCTCAGTAGTATTTTATTGTTTTCTCTGTATAGATCTTGTATATTTTTCCTTGATTGATTCCTAGATTTTTTGTCGTTGTAATTGCTATTGTTACGCTTTTAAAATTTCATTTTCTAATAGTTTATTGCTATTACGTATAAGTACAACAGATTTTTATATTGATCTTGTATCCAGTGATTTATACATTCATTCCAATAGTTGGTTTATAGATTCTTTTTTAAATTTAAAAAAATTTAAACTTTTTATTTTATATTGGAGTAAAGTTTCAGGTATACAGCAGAGTGATTCAGTTATGCCTATACATGTATGTATTCTTTTTCAAATTCTTTCCCCATTTAGGTTGTTACATAATATTGAGTAGAGTTCCCATAGGGATACAGTAGGTCCTATAGATTCTTTTGGATTTTCCATAAAGACTGTAATGTCATATGTAAATAATAGTGGTATTTCTTCTGTTCCATTCTTAATGTTTTATTTATTAAAATGCTGTGTATTCTTCAGGTCATCATTGAATAGAAATCATGAAGGCAGATAGCCCTCTAACACTGCCTGTTGTGAGAGGAAAGCATCTAATATTTCACTGTTAAATATGATGTTCAATTCAGTTCAGTCGCTCAGTTGTGTCCGACTCTTTGCGACCGCATGAACCGCAGCACGCCAGGCCTCCCTGTCCATCACCAACTCCCGGAGTCCACCCAAACCCATGTCCATTGAGTTGGTGATGCCATCCAATTATCTCATCCTCTGTTGTCCCCTTCTCCTCCTGCCCTCAATCTCTCCCAGCATCAGGGTCTTTTCAAATGAGTCAGCTCTTTGCATCAGGTGGCCAAAGTATTAGCATTTCAGCTTCAACATCATTTCTTCAATGAACACCCAGGTCTGATCTCCTTTAGGATGGACTGGTTGGATCTCCTTGTAGTCCAAGGGACTTTCAAGAGTCTTCTCCAACACCACAGTTCAAAAGCATCAATTCTTCAGCACTCAGGTTTCTTTATTGTCCAACTCTCACAGCCATACATGACTACTGGGAAAACCATAGCGTTGACTAGATGGACCTTTGTTGACAAAGTAATGTCTCTGCTTTTTAATATGCTGTCTAGGTTGGTCATAAGTTTACTTCCAAGGAGTAAGCGTCTTTTAATTTCATGGCTCCAATCACCAAATACAGTGATTTTGGAGCCCCCAAAAATAAAGTCTTTCACTGTTTCCCCATCTATTTGCCATGAAGTGATGGGGCCAGATGCCATGATCTTAGTTTTCTGAATGTTGAGCTTTAAGCCAACTTTTTCACTCTCCTCTTTCACTTTCATCAAGAGGCTCTTTAGTTCCTCTTCACTCTGTGCCATAAGGGTGATGTCATCTGCATATCTGAGGTTATTGATATTTCTCCCGGCAATCTTGATTCCAGCTTGTGCTTCTTCCAGCCCAGCGTTTCTCATGATGTACTCTACATATAAGTTAAATAAGCAGGGTGATAATATACAGCCTTGACGTACTCCTTTTCCTATTTGGAACCAGTCTGTTGGTCCATGTCCAGTTCTAACTGTTGCTTCCTCACCTGCATACAGGTTTCTTAAGAGGCAGGTCAGGTGGTCTGGTATTCCCATCTCCTTCAGAATTTTCCACAATTTATTGTGATCCACACAGTCAAAGGCTTTGGCATAGTCAATAAAGCAGAAACAGATGTTTTTCTGGAACTCTCTTGCTTTTTTGATGATCCAATGGATATTGGCAATTTGATCTCTGCTTCCTTTACCTTTTCTAAAACCAGCGTGAACATTTGGCAGTTCACAGTTCACGTATTGCTGAAGCCTGGCTTGGAGAATTTTGAGCATTACTTTACTAGCTTGTGAGATGAGTGCAGTTGTGCGGTATTTTGAGCATTCTTTGGGATTGCCTTTCTTTGGGATTGGAATAAAAACTGACCTTTTCCAGTCCTGTGGCCACTGCTGAGTTTTCCAAATTTGCTGACATATTGAGTAAAAGCACTTTCACAGCATCATCTCCAGGTGTTTCTTGACTTCCTACTTTTGCATTCCAGTCCCCTATAATGAAAAGGACATCATTTTTGGGTGTTAGTTCTAGAAGGTCTTGTAGGTCTTCATAGAACCGTTCAACTTCAGCTTCTTCAGCGTTACTGGTTGGGGCATAGACTTGATTACCGGGATATTGAGGGTGCCCAGAAGGTGCTTTGGAAAGGAACAGAGGTCATTGTCGTTTTTGAGATTGCATCCAAGTACTGCATTTTGGACTCTCTTGTTGACTATGATGGTTACTGTATTTCTTCTAAGGGATTCCTGCGCACAGTAGTAGATATAATGGCCATCTGAGTTAAATTCACCCATTCCAGTCCATCTTAGTTTGCTGATTCCTAGAATGTCAATGTTTACTCTTGCCATCTCCTGTTTGACCACTTCCAATTTGCCTTTAGGTCTGCCATTTTTATTATTTTTTCCTCTTTGTTACCTCTGTTTTTCATTCTTCCTTTCTGCTTCCCTGCTTATTTTGGTTAATTTGACCATTTTTTAGTATTCCATTTTAATTAGATATATCTATGTAAATGTCTCTGTATAGTTTCTTAAGTGGTTGCTCTAAGGATTTGACTATATCTCTGGCTTTTTTAGTGGTTGCTGTGGGTTGGGAAGATCCCCTGGGGAAGGAAATGGCAACCCATGCCAGTATTCTTGCCTGAGAAATCCCATGGATAAAGAAGCCTGGCACGCTGCAGTCCATGAGATTGCAAAAGAATCAGTCACGACTTAGTGACTAAACAATATTTAATGTGTTTGGAGCTTTTTTAGTACAGATTATAATATACATTATTTACACAATCTTCTTAGAATCAGTGTTTTACTGTTTCAAGTGGAATGTGGAAAACCTTACATTTGAGTTTTTTAATCTTCCTTCCTTTATATTGTAGTTGTGTTAAACATTATCATTACATATGTTGGAAATCCTGTTGGATAATGCTGTAATTATCCTTTGTGTTCTCCTTTCAAAGGAGAATAGTAGTTAGTAGTAGTTAAGTAAGTAAGGATACTTTTGCAGTTTTTTCTTCATTCCTGATCTTCTGAGTGTGTGTATTTGTTTGTTCTGGTATTAATATTGTTTACTTTCTGTCTAAAGAACTTCCTTCAGGGATGATTTTTAGAGTAGCTTTGGTGGCTAGAAACTTTCTTAGTGTTCCTTCATCTGAGAATGTCTTCATTTCACCTTCATTCCTGAGGGATGTTTTTGCTTAATATAGAATTCTGAATTAATTGTTCTTTCAGCACTTTAAAAATGTTATGTCACTTCTTTCTGACCTCCATAGCTTGTAAAAACGTTTTTGGCTGTGCCGGCTCTTCGTTGTGGCCCGTGGGATCTTTGATCTTCCTTGTGGCGTGCAAGATCTTTAGTTGTGGTGTGTGGGATCTAGTTCCCTGACCAGGGAGATGAAACCCAGGCCTCCTGCATTGGGAGCATGTAGTGTTAGCCACTGGACCACCAGGGAGGTCCCCGAACCTCCATAGTTTTTTATGAAAATTCTGCAGTTGTCTGAATTGTTGTGTTCCTAAGTAATGCATCATTTTTCTGGATGCTTTCAAGATTTTTTCCATTTTCTTTTTGTTTTAGCAGTTTAATTATGATGTACCATGGCTTAGATTTCTTTCTGCTTATCCTATTTGGAGTTCACTGATCTTTTTGAATCTAAGAACTTATGTCTTTTGTCAAATTTGGGATGTTTTCAGGCTCTATGTGTTAAAATCTTTTTCCCCCTCAATAACATTCTTTCCTTTTGAGAGTCTGTAATTATCAGTTAGGCCTCTATATTTATTGTCCCATAGGTCCCTGAAGCGCTGTTCATTTCTTTCCAATTATTTTTCTCTCTGTGGATCAGATTTGATAACTAGCATGATGTGTCTTCAAGTTCATTGACTTTTCTTCTGTCATTTCCATTCTGCTGCTGAGTCCATATTTTGCAGTTGGTTGATAGTCTCCTAAGGCTCTTTTAAATTCTCTGTATATTGTTTGTTTATTTAACTTGGTGATTTATTTGTTGTAGAAGGTAGTTGATTAATCCTAATGATTTTTCCATGGTGTGGACTTTCTAATTGCATCTTTTTTTTTTTAATTAGAAAATGAATTTATTAGATATAAGGCCAGAGGTTGAAGCCACAAACAAATATGCAACATCACTGTGGGGCAAGGGGGCTTCTTTACTGAAAAGATTTCTGCCACCACTAATGCTCAGGGCTGGACCACAAATTTCCCCTCTGCCCCCTCCAAGGAGAGCAGTGACGTTGGGGAGCGGGGTGAGGGTGAGGTTGCAGTGAAGAGAGAGGCAGGGTTCTGCTGAGGAGGGTAGGCTTGAGAAGGAAGCAGAGGAGACTCAAATCGCTCCGAAGCAGCCACAGCCAAGCCCCGTGTGGGGCCTCCTAGGACTTCAGCATCTCAGGGAGCACAGTTGCCGGACTCTCCTGGGCCTTGTTGCGGCCACCACAGGTGCTGACACACTCCTTCTCATTCAGGAAGTTGTTGTGCTTCCTTCTGCATCCGCCGTAAGTAAAGGTCTGGCAGAGCCCGGACACGGTGTGGTGGAAGTACCTGGTGAGCACGACCGTGCAGGGACCGGTGTGTGGAGGCTGCAGACAGAAGGCAGGGCGCAGCCTGTCCTTGTTGCTGTCGTCACCCTCTGGGTGCCCGGCCACCAGGGTGCCCAGAAGGACAAGAAGGGCTGCGGAGAGGCAGAGCCGGCTCATCTTTGTGGCCTTGCAGGAGGGCTCCTCTAATTGCATCTTTATAGTACCATTTAAACATATTTTTTGTCCCCTGTGTTTTCTGTAGTTTGGAAGTTAGATCCAGAATAAGACTCAGCAAACTATATAGTTTATGAGTCAAATCTAGGATTCCCCTGTTTTCATAACGGGGGTACAGCTATATTCATTTATTTACATGTTGTCTATAGTTGTTTCTTTGCTACAGTAGTAGAGTTGAGTAGGTGTGACGGACTGTGTGAGAGGCCAAGCCTAAAATGTTTATGCTCTGTTCCTTTAAAGAAAAGGTTAGTTTACCTCTGATCCACAGATTTTATCAAATTCAATTTTTAAATAAGTAAATTTAATAGGTGGTATGTAATGTTTGGTTTCCTGTATTTTTGTGGTGCTAATAATCATTGCTCATATTTGGTGCTCTTTACAGTGATCACCTACCTTTCTGATGGAGATATGTATATGTGTGTGTGTGTGTGTACACACATACATTTTTTTTTGCTGGGTATGTTATTTTAGATTGGCGTTTTCCTTTTACTGTTTTCTGGCTTCCATTCTTTGACTTATTGTTAGCTTATCAGTCTTATTGTTAGTCTTTAGAAGGTGATCTGTCATACTGTATCCCCCACCCCACTCCCTGAATGATTGTGAGATTTTTCTGTTTTATATATCAGATATATTATACTATTTGTATATAATATAAATTATATATTGTGTCAGATATATATTATGCTGTATTATCTTTGTCTTTATCTTGCCTTGAGTTTATAGTGCTTCTTGAATCTGTGGTTTCAGATACTTTGTCAGAATTAGGAAATTCTCAGTCATATGTCATTTTCTCTTCTGCCCTATTTTTATTTCCTCCTTTTTTAAGACTCCTATCATATATATTTAGATCTTAATACTCTGTGCCATATTGTATCTTTTATGTTCTTTCCTATTTTTAATTGTCCATCCTTCTGTCATTCTGTGCCTAACAGTGGTATTTTCTTCTGACCTTTCTTCCACTTCAGTATTTTTTGTGTTTGTGTCCAGTCTGCCATCTATCCCACCCTTGAATTTCTTAATTATTTCATTTTAAATTTCTCTTATTTGTATGGCTCTTTGGTTATAGGTTTCAGTTCTGTTACAATCCCCCAGATTGTCATTTATTTCAGTGTTTTAAGGATTTGTTTCATTCTTTTTTGTTTTTTGCTTTTGACTGTGGCATGCGGGATCTTAGTTCCCCTACCAGGGCTTCCGCCTGCAGTGGATGTGCAGAGTCTTAACCACTGTACTGATAGGGAAGTTGCATTAAGTATCTGTTTCTGATCATTCTTTTATTTGAATCTCCTTTGGGCCTTTTCCTAATATAAGTTTTTCCCTCTTAGTTTTTGGTCATTTATTATTTCCTTGAATGTCTGCTTATTTCTCACTGAGTGCCAGAAATTGAATGTGAAAAATGTTGGCAATAGTTTGAGAGTGAATGTTCTCAAAACTTAAAATGTCTGTGTATGGTTCTTATAAAGTCTAAAGGAAGAGTAAACAAGTGTGGAGAAGAAGGAACTGGTTAGAGTCAGTTGATGGAATCATCCTGCATTCTAGGTCTGATAGAGAAGGAAATGAGGGAAACTGGGAGAAAACGAAGCTGTTAAAGAATATGGATTGAGATCACTAAAAAAATAGGAGGTTGGCATCAAAGAAGGGATATTAGATTCTTTTGTTTTTGATATTAGATCTTAAGACTGAAAATAAAAGTGATCAAAGAGGAGAAAAGTGCTCTGTGGAAAATAATTGTTGGATTGAGTTTAGACTAGGAATCAGTCACTTAGGGTTGAAAAGTCTACGTAAGTCTTAAATGACTGGTAAAGAGCAGGAAGAGAATTTCAGGCTACACTTTACTTTGCAACTTCTTTTCTTCTTCAGATTTCCTTTGAAATTGCCTTTAGCCTGAATGGTCTGACAATGTTCAGCATAGTTAGGGCTGAAGACCAGAGGCTATCATGCTTTTTCTGCCTTAGGCTTCTCACAACTCGCACCCTTACATGGGTTAATGTGGTTAATAAACAGCTGGATTGCAGGTTCAGTTTCAAAACTCTAGTTCACTGAGCTTTCTTTAACTCTTTGGGGGTATTAATACCTGCCCGGTATACCACAGGTTTTTTGTAAAAGTCTATTGGAATGTGTGAACTATTTTAAAAATGAAAAATAGTATACAAATGGAAGGTGGTTAATAATCACATGGTTGGTGGAGAATTACATGATTTATAATTGCACTCAAGGAAATATTTTAAAAGCAAAGACTTACTATGTATGCATTTAATTTATTCATGTAACTTAATTGTGTTAAGAAAAATTTGTGACAGATTTATGTGTGAATTGGAGCATATCAGCATTGGAAATTAATACTACCTTTTTCTGCTTTAGGACAGAAATATACATATATTCTCATTGTCTTTGAGAAAATGAATTTCTTTTGAATAAGAAATCAAATATTATAAAAGCAAATAAATTGTCACATTATATGAATTTAAACTTTTAGTTTCTATTTAGATTCTATAATAAAATTTAAACATGTTATACTATTAGAGGGCATATGTCATTTGATATATTAATAAAAGAAAACAGTCTGGGTCCTAACAGAATATTTTAACTCATAGGTAAAACAGTATTTAAAATTTTAGAAAACTAAAGTATAAAATTATCTGTCTCCAGGCAAAATTTGGTTTCTCTGATGTTACTGGAATTGATTACTCTCCATCTGCAATACAGCTTTCTGGAAGTATTATAGAAAAAGAAGGTTTATCTAACATTAAGTTGAAGGTAACTATTATTTATATTGCTGTTATTTTTATTTATAAAAAGTTATAAAGTTTAAATGTTTCTGATGTGTTAATTTTCTGACATCCTTAAACTCATAAATTAAGGATCAATCATAAATAATCCAAAATGATAACTTTTTAAGTAACAGTATTAAAATTTTCAGTCTAGTCAGTTTGGGGAAGTTATTTTCTCCTCTTCCTCTTGTGTTCAGGTATGTTTATTTTGCCTTTCCGTCTCTCTTTTTTTACAAATACACATGAATAATAGCTAACTTTGGATAAACCAGATCAATTTGTAAATGCATAAAGTGGTATAATGCTCCAAAGAGTGGAGATGATGCCACTTGCATTTACATTTTTATCCCAGGCTTCTCCTCTGAACTCTGGAATTATAGAAATGCTGCATATTCTATAGTTCCACTTAGATAGTTAATAGCCTATTAATTAGTCCAAAATGAAACTCTTGGCTTCTCCCTTAGCCTTCCCATTCACTCCGATCCCCACCCCACTCTTTCCTTTTTATTTAATAGCCAGGAATTCCCTGGGGGGTTCGTTGGTTAGGTCTTAGTGCTCCCCTGGGTTCAGTCCCCCCCTGGGTTCAGTCCCTGATTGGGAAACTAAGATCTCAAAAGCTGTGAGGTGCTGCTGAAAAAATAATCCTAGAGCCAATTTTGTTGGTTTTATCTTTAGAATAATTGAGAAAATGTGTCATTCCTTGATATTTCCATTGCTGCCTCCTAGATCCAAGCCACCATCAGCAACCTCTTACTTAGCCTTCCCATTTCCACTCTTGCCACTCTGCTGTCTGTTACCACAAGGCATCCAGAGTTATTTATATATATATATATATATATATATATATATATATATATATATATATATATATAATTAAGTTTATTTTATTTTTAATTGAAGGATAATTGCTTTACAATATTGTGTTGGTTTCTGCCAGACATCAGCATGAATCAACCCTAGGTATACATATGTTCCTTCCCTCTTGAACCTCCCTCCTACCTCCCTCCCCATCCCACCACTCTAGGTTGTTACAGAGCCCCAGTTCTGAGTTATTTTTATTAAATGTAAATCAGCCTCCAAGCACTTCCCCATTGCATTTAGAATGGAATCTGAACCCCCACCCAGCCTTACAGAGCCCCTTGGTTTTTACCCCTTTCCTTCTTTATCACCAATACTCTAGTCACTCTGACTTTCTTTCTGCTCCTGATACGTTTCAGCCTTTTTTTTCTCCAGTCTTTATTCCTGCTGCTCTCTGCCTAGAATGTTCTTGCCCCAGATGTTAGTTTGTTTGGCTCATTCTCATCATTCTGATCTCTTCTCAAATATCACCTTCTTAAAGAGGTCTTGCCTGCTACTTTTTCAAAACATTTTTCTTCCTAATCACTCACTGTATTTTTTCTCTTCATAGCACTTTATCTGAAATAATTTGGTTAACTTATTTATTGTTTATCTCATCTTTTAGAGAATATGAGATATACTCTCATACAGAGATCTTTTGATTTGTTTGCAGTTATAGTCCTAGGGCCTGAAATGTTCCTATATGTCATAGGTGTCTATGAACTATTTGTTGTATACATGAATAATTTTATACAGGCATTTAGGATATAAACTTGTCCAGACTTGACTCTTATGAGTTGTAGTCATTATTTTGCCTCAGGTGTAATGATGTGGGGTGGGAGTGGGAAACCTATGTTTGAGTGTATGAAAACATACAATACACATTTTAAAATCAAACAATAACGAAGTTTTAGATAATACACCATTTATAATTATTTTGTTTATATGAATAATCACAAACTAACTGCTTAATTTTTCAAAGTAGCTTTTCAGAATTAATATTGTTGGCAAATTATTTTGAATATTTTATGAAATTGAGGCAGATCACTATTCCAGATGCTTCTGAAGTATCAGTAAATTATTGAAAATGAATGAGATGAATGATACATGACTTTCAAAATCTGAAATGCGTGATATTTGAAAAGTTAGGTAATTGCAGTTTAAACAGTCCTTTAATTTCTTAAACTTTGTACTATTTGTTGTAGTTGCTTTGTAAGCTGCTGAGTCAAGGCAATACATCTTGATTTACCATGTTTACTTCAGGTCAGACAACTAGTAATATCAGCTAAAAATCATCATATTTCCAGTGACCTATTTGAGTTCAAGATTTTTTTTGTCATTTAAAAAAATATGTCAAATAGTCTGCTTTTCAACAGAAATAACTTTTTCATAAACCGGGCTTGTGACCTCCATTATGTGCTGGTATTATTAGGCAGTACACCTGGCTTTGATTTGTTTCCAAATTTGTAGAGACTTGGAATGTCCAGGAAACACTGTCAGTCTTGCTTACTAATCTTAGCTTTAATGATATTGGAATGAAGCACATAAAAGTTAGCTGTGAAGTTGAAAATATGTTTATTATATGTAAAATGCCATTGTAATTAATTGATCCTTTTATCTATCACTTTTTATAGATTGTTACTTAAATTCAGTAAAGATTGTGTGTGGATTGTTTCACATAGACATTGATTTTTAATATAGGTAGAAGACTTTTTGAACCCTTCCACAAAGTTGTCTGGATTTCATATTTGTATTGACAAAGGGACTTTTGATGCCATAAGCCTTAATCCTGACAATGCAGTTGAGAAGAGGAAACAGTATGTGAAATCTCTCTCCAGAGTATTGAAAGTGAAAGGCTTTTTTCTAATAACCTCATGTAATTGGACCAAGGAAGAGTTGCTAGATGAATTCAGTGAAGGTAAATGGCTGTATATTGTTTAAATGTGTTCTAACCTCATGTTGAATGCACTCAAATAGGTTTTTTTCCTGGTGTTACATTGTTTTACTTTTCTGTTTGTGGGAGTTGCCTGCTTTTCTTCTTTGTTAATAACCATGGCAATACTTTTAACTGTATATTCAAAGAACAAAGAAATAATATTGGTTGAGATCCAGAGTCCTTTGTAAAATTTTCCAAGAAATTCTGGCAGTTAAGTACTAAAATTTATGAGTCTGTAAAAATTCTTTATTTAAGCTGTATAATCTCTTATTTAGAGAATCAAAACAAAGAAAGCACATATATTGTGCTTCTGAATTCAGTGCACGATATACCAGTAATTAGTGATAATAGTAATAATGCAGGTGGTATTAGTGTTTTTTAAAGTCTTATATGGTGAGAGTTTCAATTCTGTGGATGCTAGTGGTCATTTACGTGTATAGGATTTTTCTTCTTGTTTTCAGTGTATATTTTTTTTTTGACATTGCATAGAAGCAAAACATAGGCATTTAGAAGAATTACTGCATATTAATTCTTGAGGAAATCTCTACTTTTTTGCAAGATTTTGGTGCCAAGATAGGAACTCCCCCCCCCCCCCCCGATTAGCAAAGTATAATTAGTACTGTGTCTACTAAATGGGAATCTTGTGAGAATCTTTAATCCATACGCAAATACTTTGAGCTTTGGCAGACTGTTCCTTGCTTGGTTGAAGGATTATTTCACCTGTCACTTACTCATGCAGTACACAGGCCTTTCTGGAAAGTACCTTGAGACTTTATAGCTAGATGTTTGCTTGTTTTTTCCTTACACTCCATTTCAGGTTAGTATTAAGGGTTTTTTTTTTAAGGAATGGGAAGAATTTTCAGGATGGAGTATGAATAAGTGACATGGTACTAACTTTGTGGTTAAATTTTGAACTTCAGTTGTCACAAGCTAACGGGAAATGGATTTATAACTGTATTGCATGTGCTTCATCTCAGAGTTTGTTTTCTTTTTGGTAGTGAGGGAATAGGCAGTAGGAGGGAGAACACTTAACACATGTCCTTCTGTGTGCATTCGATGGCTTTGGCAGGTTATATAATGTAAAACTTGAAGTGTTTGAGGCTTGAAATGTGAGCTTGAGGCTTCATTACTGCTGCCTCTGGAAAACAAGAATGATGTGATTTATTGTCTTTTATTTCATGTCGTTAATTTTATTATCTTCTATGTTAGATTTGTTTCCTTTAGAACTGTTGAGGCCCTGTACCAATAGTCTTTTTTCCTGAAGCTTGACAGTTTTAATAAATGCTCAGCACTACACTGTGTAGGGCAAGTTACTTTCCTGGTTTTTAAATACAGGTGTTCTCTTTTACCCTTGAAACCACCAGACAAAAACATATTTGTCTGTCTTTGATAATGAGGAACAGACTTTAGCCTGGTAAAGAGTGCTTAAAAATCTGTCTCTGAGAACCACTAAGTAAATTCTTTAGCTTATGTTCAGTTTCAGAACTTAATGCAGAATTTAAATAAGCAAATTGCTGCCACAGGAAATGTTAAAGAAATAATTATATATACTGAAAACATTTTTCTTCTCTTAGAAAATGGTTTTTGGAGTTAGACACAGAACACTGCCATGCATCGCTGCCGAGGGGCTTCTCACTGGGGTTTAAGATTGGCTTCTGTGGTCCTTTCGCACAGAATAAAGCTTGTTTCACTAATTTTTTCAGGTTCTTTGCTTCTTTCCTAATTTGAAATGTAAATGTTCGTAAATCTGTTGAAATGAATTTTTCCTTTATAGCCCTATTATATAAATATTTGGTGGTGGTATTTGTTTTGGTTAAGATTGCTTAATCATTTGCCAGACACTAGGATATTCTAATTTGATGTCCAAGGAACTTGACTTTCTTACAACTAGGGAATTAAAACTCGGAAACCTATCTTACAACAAAAGTAACCCAGATTCATTATGAAAAACATTTGAAAATATCAGTAACCCCAACACATAAGTATATAGATTAAAACAATTACAATTCATTCTCTCTGGTATTCAGCCACTTTTAACACTTTGATGTATTATCTACTGAAATATAACAGCTTAAATTCTGTAGTGTTAGTCCAGGGAGTTAAAAGATTAGTTTTAGAAAATTTACACAGAGAGCTCCATTTTCTTTTGAAAATTTTTTTTATGAAGTATTTGAAACACAAAATGTCAGAAAACAGATAGGGTCGTGTCCACATGTACCCACCACAGTGGCTCCATTTTTTAGCATTAAAATATATTATTTAAAAGGCCTGACCTTCTTTTGGAAAGTTTTCTTATGGTTAGTTATTTTTTTTATAGTTAGTTATTAATTAGCATTTTAATATCTAGTTATTAAGATTTGGTGACTTTTGGTTAAGAATATGAACTATGAAGAAAAGTATAAAAAACCAATTAATACAATAGTATATATCCTTTTAAACATTTTTTTCTGTTTACAAGAGTTATTTGAGCTTTAGCTCAGGCATGGAAACTTAGAAAACATAGGCATCTCCTTCCCCAAAAGAAAAAAAAAGTTCTCCCAAACTGCTAGTGTCATCGTGAGAGGAAACTATGGTAAACTGCCACCCACCCTTATTTGTCTTAGTTTTTAAAAACAGAATAATAACACATTAAATTTCTGTTTTGTTTTATAGTTTAGGAGAACACCACATTATCTTATTTTGATCTTCACAAAATCACTGGGAGTTAGGTAAGGCAGTGAGACCTATAACCTCCTTGTGTAGAAATTGAGGATTCTGGGTGAGGTAAATTGACCTTAACCTAATAACCTGCCATCTAGTAAGTGGTGGAGGTGGGACTTGAACCAGGATGTTTGAATCCACGTTAAGTGAGGGGAAAAAAGAATCACCCTGCACTACTTTGGCAGTCACTACTTCCTTGTCTTCCCAAGTTGAGTTCAGTTTGGGTCTGGATCTTGGGTTCCGAACCGTTTTTTTTACTGTTGTAAAATATATATGACATAAAATTTACCATTTAGCCATCTTTAAGTTTACAGTTCTATGGCCTTAAGTACATGGTCATTGTTGTGCACCCCTGTCACCCCCATCCATCTTCAGAACTTTGTCATTTTTATTTCCTCATTATTTAACTTTTCTATATTAAAGTGCTTTTATATATCTGACATGGATTAACTGAATTATATGTAGAAAGCACTCAAAACAGTACCTGATGCATGGTAAGACCTCAGCGCATGATAAGCTGCCTACAGCTGGATGGTAAAGGAGGCTGGTGGAGGGGCAGGGTTTGCGCGCTTAATGGATGCGGTGCGTGAATGCTTCGTCACTCGGTCCTGTTAAAAGCTTTGTGACCCCATGGGCTGTACCCACCAGGCTTCTCTGTGGGACTTCCCAGCCAAGAACCCTGGAGCGGGCTGCCATTTCCTCCTTCAGGGCATCTTCCCAATCCAGGGGTTGAACGCGCGTCTCCTCTATCTCCTGTATTGCAAGCAGGTTCTTTACCTGCTGAGCCATTGAGGAAGCGCTCTGCGTAGTTGAAGGGATGATGAAAAGGAAGTGGAGGAAATGAGGGATGGATGGAAAGCTTCTTTTCTCCAGTTTAATTTTGTCTGTTGCTTGTTGATTTCAGTGTTTTGGAGTGTATATACGTATACACATAGAGTAGAATTGAAAATCATAAAGTGAAGTTTAGTCAAAATTCAGTTTGGAATCATGTAGTTTTATGAAAGGTTCAAACGTACTTTGTTAATACAAACATCCCTTCATTGTGGGAGTCAGTCCCTAATGAAAGTGTTTTAACTTTGGCAGGATTTGAACTTTTTGAAGAGCTGCCCACACCCAAGTTCAGCTTTGGAGGCCGATCTGGAAACAGTGTAGCAGCATTGGTTTTCCAAAAAACATGAGACTTTTCACCGGACAGATTCAGTTAGTGTCTTTTTAAGAAGCTCTGCATCAAAGTAAACCTGACACAGAAAATGCAAGTGCAGGTAAATGTTTAGTAAGTACACAGGAGGCACATTTCGAGTAGAAATAATGGGTTGGTTAAAAAAAAAATCATGAGCATGTAAGTGGTTGGGTTTTAGAGATCAACCAAGAATAATTTTAAAATTTTCTTTTGTATTTGAGATGTAAATATTTCTCTTTCAGATTAAAAAAATAATTCCTGTAATTGCTGAACAGTTAAAACTTTAAAGCAGTAAATGAATTTACAGAAAGCTTGCATCCTTGATTTTTGTGCCTCGGTAAAGGTGAATTGAATATAGCTATTTGTGAAGATTTGATCAAGCCATTCCAGGGTCAGAATAATAAGCCAAATGATTTTCTTAATTTTTTATTAGACTATTATAAAACATAATAAGTATGATATTTTGGGTTGAATGGTGATTAAAAAAAAAGATTTAATATCAGAAAATGTCTCAGCCCTTACGTGTGTAATTAAAATCAGATAAATGTATCAGTTGATCAAGAAATATTTACTGAACTTTTTTTTTTGGCTGATGGTTTTCTGTACACCATGGTGGACAAACAGTATGAGGAAAGACATCTAAGAGACACTGTTATATGCTGGCACTGTGTTTAGTTGTATTATCTTACTGAGTCATTGAATTCCCTCAGTATCTTCTCCAGGCATGTATCACTTATTCCTGTTTGTACACATCAGACAGCTAGTGCAGGATGGAGCCAGGGCTCCTCTCTGGGTCTGCCTCTAAAATCTTTTCTCTAGTAGTTTGCTTCCCAGGTCTAAGCTCTGCCATAATGGCATTTACAGTTCATTGGGGGAACTAGGCCTGGGCACCGAAAATTCTGTCAGAGAAGCTGGGCAGTTATTTTTAGGGGTCTGCAGCTCCTTGTTAGTGACTGTTGGTTGGTGGACTGTGAGAATAGTGAGTCATCCGTCATTTGTTTTCACTGTCTCCCTGCTTGTCTTATAACTTGCCTAATCAAGAACTGAATTGTGTCATTCTTCTGTCAAAGGTGGTGTAAGTTTTATATACATACATCCTCAGGGCTCTGGGGACAGAGATGTTCTAGTTAGGCACTGATCAGCAAGAGAAACAGTTTATTTATGATCGTTTTTGAAAAAATAAGTTTTATTAATCCTCACTGCCATTTTGTCTTTGGGCTGATGTTTTAATGTTGGCATCATAATACAGGTTTTTAAAAAGTGATAGTAGTTTTTATGATTTGCAGCTTTTGGGTCCTGTTGGGTTATAAAACAAACAGAATTTTTGTTTAGCAAATGCTTTTCTAGTACTGAGCAAGTCTAGCATTACGCCCTTTCTCTTTTCATTTTTGTCCAGAGGGAGACAGGGGGAAGAGAAGAGTAGTTTGGTTTAGATCAACATTAATCAATCATTAAGATAACTATCTGCCTTGCACCGGATAACTGAAGACATTTCCATAAACTTTCAACACAAATAACCCTTTTGGAAAAGCTTTAATTTTTAACATGAAAAAGTGAGAAATAAAATAAAATTTTATTATTAAAAATTAAAATTTAATTTTAAGAATATGTGTGAAAATTAAAATTTAAAATTTTTAATTAGAAAAATTAAAATATATGTGATTTAAACATGTAAAATTAATTGTGTTGATGTTATAAACTAGACTCGGGATCTTAAACCATAAAAACAGTGTTATATAATTTACTGAGGTGATCTTGTCTTTGTTGTTTTCCACATTACTATTTCTTGATTTTAAATACTGTATTAATATGTAGGTACTCTTTTAGAATTCTGCGTTGTTAAGTTTATGCTATTGTGAAGCATCAGTGGAGCAAAACAGGCTTTCTGTGAAAACCAGACTAAGACATTGAGTTTGATTCACTGATAGTTGGAGAGCGCCTTTGTTGAAAAGCTCCTTGAGTCACTATTGTGGGGGTATGTGTGTTCTGTTTGCAGAGATGTAGGATTTTTGGCAGGAGAATCATGGAACTGTTGATAAGGTTAGGAAAGGGGAGTTGTCATCTCTTCTTAGACGTTTAGTCCTGCTGGAAGCCAGCCTCTCAGAGATTGAAATCAGGACAAATGGAAGGTCCAAAGATGCTAACAATAAATTATTAATATTTTCAGATAATACCACACTTTCAAAACCAGGCCAGTAAATGTCCCCAAGTTATTGAAACAAGTCATAAACACGTTATTATCAAACTTAGTTTTGATATGTCATACAGATATGTGGGTAATTGGAAAGGAAATCATGCAGTTCTAAAAGAGAGCAGTAGGTTGTAGTGAATGCTGTTTTATCTGGACAAGAAGTTGGAATTGTAATTTTATTTCATCAAAAGACACCCTTATTTTGAGAAAACTTGTTTGAAATGCAAACGAGATTTCTCTCTGGAGCCTGCACAGAATTGTTGCTTTTCATGATGATGTTATTGCTGCATAACAGTCCACTTCTGTGTGTAGGAAGCGCGTGTGCAAGTCCAAAGGGATTGGAGGCCTGAATGGGTGAGTTACACCAATTAACAAAGGGAAAGTTTTCAGAACATTTTGTTTTAAGCCAGGTGCACAAGTTAGAGTTGCTTTTTGGGCCTAGCGTTTATGTATCTGAGAATCAAACCTGACACTACTCTTGGCAGCTAGACTAAAGCCATTTAAAAATAAGTACAAACTGTCCTTGAATGATTTTTTTCCCTTTATAGTGGCAATGTGTTTGCCTTTTCTTCATCTGTGACATGTGTGCGATTTTCTGTTTATTTTGGGGGAAGGAGGGAGGTAAACATACATGAAAGACTTTTTTAGTCTTTATATAAATAGTGTATTTCAATTCATTTATTTTTAAATTTTCTTGATACTGTAACACATTACCTATATGTTGACTTTCATTCACATTCATCCAGAGTATAAATAGAAACCTTAATTTTAAAGAACCCAAATGAGTAATTAGGTTTTATGTGGCTTTGAGATAATTTTTCTTAAATTGATATGCAAAGAAATAGAGTATCCCAGCCAATGTGAATAGACTTTGATTTATGTTCTCTTAAATAATTTTATTTATTTATTTGTGTATGTGTGTCTGGAAGCCTACAATGAAAAGGTATATGAATGTGAAAAATTAGCTGCTCTCTGGATCAGCATTCTACCCCTGTGGGGACACTTGGGTTTGAGTCCCTGTTGTTAGCACTGTGAGCTAGATAGAAGGTATGTGCTCCAGAGGCAGCCTTCTGCACTGAGAGCAAGAGACCAAGTGTCTTGTGTTCCACTGTAGTAACCTCTTTAGCTAATTGTGTGTGTGTGTGGTGGAGGAGGGGTGCCGAGGGGTGTTGCTGGGGTCTGAAAGCAGTCTTGTTTAGTCCACTTCACAGGAAGGAGGCTGCCTGTGACCTGGAGTCTGATTGTGGGAGGTGAGGAGCATGGTAGGTTGAAGGACAATTGAATTGTGGGGAAAAAATTGGAAAACCCTGTCATTTCTCTTGGCTAGGCAGAAAACAGAGATGTCCTTAAAGAAGGGGGGAGCACATGAGCATGTTTTATTAACAGTTAATAGAAGAAAATTAATGCTAATTTATTCTTCATACATACCATGCAATTTGTTAGAAAAGTAAAAGAATAGTTTGAAATTCTTTGGTCAATTGATAGATTCCTATGTTAGGAGCATAGAAATGAAACTCAACATTAAGCAGACAAATACCCAAGCCCACAGGCTACATAAATGCTGAATAAAACGAGCTCTACAATGGAACTCTGAAAAGCGAGGGGTAAGAAGCCTAATGAATGATTGAATATGACCTTAGCAAAATCCCTGGAGTGTTGTTGAAAGATCATTCATTTCCAGCTTAGATGTCAAGATGGGCTCCAGTAACCAGAAAAAAAAAGAGAGCTTGAGTCGGTACTTAACTGAGTTTTAAAAATCTTTACAACACAGTGCATTAGACTAATCATTAAAAGGACTACTTCTCTAACTGCATTTTAGGCTGTCACTGTATGGACCTGTGGTTTAGGCCCAGGGAAACCAAATTAAAAAGACAGGAATAATTCTCAAGACTTGAATGTATCTCTGTCCTGCTTTTATGGAGTAGAACTTCAAAAACTGGGGCGTAGAGGCAGGCAGAATGTACTTTTGTCATGCTGATACCATTGTAAGAAAGACTTTCGACCAAGAGATCAATTGTGCCTTAAAGTATTTGCCAGTTACTTGCCTAGTTTATTGGAGTATGATATAGAAAAATGAACGAACTTAACTTTTTTCATTTTTTTGTTTACTTTTTTCATTTTTAAGTGATCCTTCCCAAAGAAGTGATAAATTCTTATATTTACATTTTTAAATATACTTAATATATTTATATTTAAAATATGTATTTTACTGCATCAGGAAATGGTATGTTATCGAGTGAGCTTCATTTTGCATGCTATCCAGAAGCTTTTTAAGAAAAGTGAATCTGACAATATATTTGTTTTCCCAAATACCTAAAAATTTTCACATGAGCCAGCAATTCGCATACTCTGGATATTACCTGAGGAGCTTAGCAATATGAAATACTCTGGTTGAATAAGAGGGCCAGGAAGTGTATTTATCACCTTTGTTAACAGAGATGAAGCAGCGTATCAGGATGTGACTGCAGCAGAAGGGAAGCGCTGTTGGGGTGGCCGGCGGCTCGCCTGCTCTTTCATTCTCTGCTGCTTCAGAGTCGGGGGAACAGTCAGGACAAAGAGGCTAAATGTAGAGGAGAGTGGGTGCTGCAAGTTCACATTTTTCTCCTAACCCCTCCTCTAATATGAAAATGTCAGTCCTTTGTTCCCATCTAATTTTAGTACATCCTGGCTAAAAAAAATGTTAGGATGATTTCCAACCATGGAACTCGGAGGGGCGGGGTGGGAGAGGGGCAGAGTGGAGGAAAGAGCCGTTTACATTCCACATCCGTCTGCCGTTCTGTGACAGCATCTCGCCCCTACTCTGTGGA